GGGGGGGGGGGGGGGGGGGGGGGGGGTTCTCGGGATATGAATAAGGAATGTAGGATTCTCCCGCGTGAGGCGACGGCGCAGGCGCGACGGACAGGGTTGGTTGGGTCTAGAGATGCAAAATGACTGTCATTTCTTAGATCGCGTCATATGACCAAAAAATGACGATCATGTGACGCACAAATTTTCCAACTACAAATGATTGTCACAAATCATTTGTAACCAAATTGTTGTCAAACCATCTATATAGTTGCATAATGACGGTCATAACTAATTTCCAATTTGTGATGGTCATGAATAAAACAAAATAGTTTCATCTATATGGATGGAAAAAAATCGTGATTTCCATTTCAAAATGCGGATTAGGCCAATACAAAAGGAATTCAACTGAAAATTTACCGAGAAAAAATAAAGTTTCATCTATATAGGTGAAAAATGACTGTCATTTTTTCTTGACAAGTTGTGATGGTCACAGAAGGGGGAGGGGGAATTGTGACAGCCGTCATGAGATCCTCATCATGTGACCGTCATTGACGCCTTGGGGCCTTTAGGGTCATAAGGGCCATAAGGGTCTCAGGGTACAACAAGGTTACAAGGGTCGAGAGGGTCAAAATCCCTTATTTGATTATAAGTCTATTTGACGTTATAAGATGGGGTAACGGAGGTGAACTTTGTGCCCCTGCGGACCCTTGGGGCCTTTAGGGTCATAAGCACCATAAGGGTCTCAGGGTACAACAAGGTTACAAGGGTCGAGAGGGTCAAAATCCCTTATTTTATTATAAGTCTATTTGATGTTCCAAGAAGGGGTAACGGAGGTGAACTTTGTGCCCCTGCGGACCCTTGGGGGGCCTTTAGGGTCATAAAGGTCATAAGGGTCTCAGGGTACAACAAGGTTACAAGGGTCAATAGGGCCAAAATACCTTATTTGATTATAAGTCTATTTGATGTTACAAGAAGGGGTAACAGAGGTGAACTTGGTGCCCCTGCAGACCCTTGGGGCCTTTAGGGTCATTAGCGCCATAAGGGTCTCAGTACAACAAGGCTACAAGGGTCAAGAGGGTCAATGTGCCTTAGTTGGTCAAATATTCAAGAAAAACATTCAAGAAATACGCAAGAACAATTTTTATAATTGCAATGTTTGGGTTAATCTCTATTAAAAAAAAGTAATAGAAACTCGCCAAAAGCTATGAACGGATGTGACGTATGGTTCTTGTTCCCTCTCTCTCTTCCTTCTATTGTACGACCATGAGAGAGCACACACGTTAAAGATTATAATAAATCCACCCACATCAGTATTCTAATTATTATATGAAGTTAGAGTTATTCATTATTCCTCTAACTCCAGTCATCACAATAATGAAAATACTTTCTGCACACATGTCTCTGGTTTCGTTCATGTTAATGTTATTTATTAATTGTTAATTTCTCGTAAATAGTTGCCTATTTCATTCGACCTTGAACTTCAATTTAGATTCCGATTGGTCCGTTCCACTGTTCCAATTCCAACCGTTCCCCCAGTCACACTCACCGGTCGAAAGTTGTGCAAAAGGCGGGTAAAGCCGGCAGTGGCACCGCATATGGTTCATTATTTCTGTTTTCACCTGTATTCAGTCGTTAAAAGAGTAATTTAATTGGTCTGGAGGACTTTCTTCATTGAATTACCGATTTGGGTGCAATAATTCGAAGGTATTTTCATGTTATTTTGGTTAATTGGGGGTTTGAATGCTTGTTCTCCTTCATTCGAACACTGTGATCAAAATTGCATTCCTCAATTCAACGAGTTTTATTGAAAAAAGTCCTTGTATCTTTTCAGGATTTCGACATTTTCCCTCGAAAACTTGTACTGAATCATCGTTATGGCTCCAACATCTCGACGTAGGAGCAGAAAAGCGGAGACAATGAAAGTGGATGATGCATCACCACCAATAGGCCCAGGGCCAGTTCAAAGCTCAAACTCATCCTCGTAAGTGAATGAACTCAAGTCTAAACTCTACACGTGACATGTTTCGGAATAACTTTTGAAGCTAAAGGAGCCATGGAAATTATTGTGGAAATAATTCTCGTAGCTCGGACTTCACTCTACACTGAGAAAAAAAATTCTCAAAAGCCCTGTTTGAACCAAAAAATCGCTAGTTAAAAATGAAAAAAATAAATAAATAAAACAAGCCTGCCACAAAACGACCCCACGACTTTCTAAGTCATTTCCAAGCAAAATTAGCGAATCGAAAAATCGACCGATTACGAAGCTTCCATTCGGAAGCAATAACCGGAGAATTTTCTTCAAATTTCTAGAAAAATCTAGAATTTTATAGAATTTCGACAGATGGCGCTGATCGTTAGGGGTAGCTCCGCAAATGACCCCCAACATGAAACTAAGAGGTAATAGAATGCCGTTAATTTTCCAAGTTTGAACAAATTTCCTGCTGAAAGTTATCGATATTTTTACAAATCAAAGCCCATTGATCTCCAGGCGGCGATGATGAAGATCAATGTCCTTTGGATGCCAAAAATATTAATATCTTTGAGCAGGAAATTTGTTTGAAATTTTCGAGGAAACGGTAGCCTTCTGTTATCCCAAAGACGTATTCACGTCAAAATATCCCTATTGTCAAATTCCCTTTTCTGCTTTCAATTTCAGTTCTGAGGCTACCCCTCCCAACTCTTCCTCAAGCCCTGCTGACCCTCCCCCGCCCTCCCCAAGTTCCCGAAGATCCCTCCGTCCTCGTCAGCCACGCCGAAATCCCCCAATCCCCGAGCTCGACACATCAGACTCGAACCCAGAAGACAATTTCCTCCCCCCTCGTTCCAGATCCAAGCCCTCCCGTCGCCGTCCCTCCCCAGCTCCCAACCCCCTCCAGAACAAAGACTCTCTCTTCAACCTCATGAAGTCGCCTTCCATCGACACCCAAGCAGTCGCCTCCGAGTGGATCGACCGCTACAAGACAGATCGCTCATCAGCGACAGCAGAGCTCCTAGAGTTCTTCCTAAGCAGCGCTGGTTCCTCCCTCACCATAACCCCAGAAATGCTCGTCGATTTCAACGACATCACCAAGGAGATGATCCTGGAAGCCTGCCAAGACAACCCCAAAGTCTTCCCATTGACCACAAAAACCTCCACCTGGAAGACCTTCACCTCGAACTTCCTCGAGTTCCTCCGAGTCCTCTTTCTCCAGTGCCAGAACTCCATAATCTACGACGGCTTCCTCCTGGAGAGTATCACCCAACCCCTGACCTTCTTCTCCTGCGTTCCCCTGGGACACCTGCGTTACACCTCAACTCTGATCCTCCTCAAACTAACAACAATCCTCGAAGAGATCGACACCAACGTTCGATCCATAATCGAAAAAAACAGGCGTCAGCTTCACTCAGAAATGAAGAGACCTCCACCAGAGAGATCCCTCGGCAGGATCGAAGCCCTAGACCTCACGAGGACAGAACTCCAGGAGAATCGAGACGTCCTCAGCGCATCAATCCTCAACATCTCCAGCAATCTCTTCTCCCCGCGATGCAAAGACAACCTCCTGGGCATTCGCCTCATCTCCATCGAGGAACTCGCTAAATTGCTGGATAAAAAACCCATAAAGTACATCGGCCACTTGAAGCACATCGGCTACGGTCTCTCAGACGTGATCCCAGAGGTCAGACTGAGATGTGCAAAGGTCCTCCAATCGGTCTACCAGTCAGAAGACCTGAAGTTCAAACTCGGTGACTTCAACGATAAGTTCAAGCACCGCTTCGCGATAATGGGTCGCGACAGGTACAAATCCGTTGGTGTCGAGGCGGTCAAACTCATGAAGATCATCTACCAGAATCACAAGGAGATCCTGAGCAACGACGATTACGAACTCATCTATGATTTGGTTTACAACAAGCACAGGGAGTTGGCGCAGGTGGCTGGGGAATTCGTGAAGGCAGTTTGCAGCGATGATGACTCCAGTCCCCAGGATGGTGACAGTTCAAATGACTCAGTTATGGGGGGACTGGTAGCATTCTTCGCAGAGTCAGAGCGTCCACATCATGCTGTCTACCTGGTGGACGCTCTCATCGATGATAACGAGTTCATGCAGGACTGGGGGTGCATGACGAATCTGCTTCTCCACGGGGATCTTGACGACGCCACCATTGTCAATCTGGTGAAGATAATGGTAGCGTCGGTGCAGCAATCAGCCACTGGGGAGAGTCCCTATGGGCGAGCACGACAAAAGCCACTGACAATGGGAGAACAACGAGAAACGTCTGCTCGCAAGGAGAAGTTAACTGAGCACTTCATCCAGAATCTTCCACGTCTCCTCGGCAGTTTCAATAACGAGCCTGAGGTGGCAACACACCTCCTGATGATTCCTCAGTACTTCTACCTCGACATGTACGTCAAGTCCCACGAGGAGAGGAGATTAACAGATCTGCTGGACGAGATTAGGATCATCATCGATAAGACAAGTGACAGCTGCACCTTGAGGGAAGCGTCAAAGACCCTGGAGTGGCTCTGCTCCGAGCGCCACCCCAAGTCGTCGCAGTGCAAAACAGAGACAGACAACATCCTCTCGAGGATAATCAAGGATTACGAGATTGCTATGGACGATTACCAGAGTGTTATCGCAGGCGAGCCGACACCTCACGACGATGAGACCACAAATGTCGTGGAGACGCTCAAGAAAATCGGTATTTTCTCCCAGTGTCATGACCTGAACCTCGAAACTTCGGTGTTTGAGTCCATTCTTGAGGTCATCGACTCGTGCAGAGAACCTGCAAGTGATCTTGAGGAGGGGTTCAGACACGCCGCCTGGGCTGTCTTCCAGTCCATCGTCTGGTGGAAGTATCGCTTGAGTTCAGGGGAAGCACTCGGGGATCGAGAGGAGGAGGAAGTTCGGAGGCTCAGGGACGTGACCGTCAAGTTCGTCCAGGACATGAAGTTCTTCCTGGTGACTGAGAACAACATCTCTCCGGGAATTCGTGCTGACGCTTTCAGGATCATCTGTGATCTTCTGATCCCAGTCTGTGAGGGTTTGTTTGATGTGCCCAATCCTCTTCGTCATGAGGTCATCTACGAGCCTGATGAGGACCTGGGGAACACTCTCAATGATTTCTTGCAGGAATATGTCTTCGTCCAGGATGACTCTGACTCCATCGATTTCTGCAGGAGGAGGAACTTGCTGATGGCTTTCTGTAAACTCATCATTTGCAAGGTTTTCAAGATGAAGATGGCTGTTGGCGTCTTCAAGCATTACGACGCGTTTTACAATGACTATGGGGACATCATCAAGATGTGCCTGATGACGGCGAAGGAGATCAACTTGCACAGTTGGGCGCTCACAATTGGCGAATGCCTGGCTAGTCTCTACGAAGAGGCTAGAAACGGGGAAGGGGATGGTGTCGACCCTGAGGACATGTTGAAGATTATTACCCTAGCGAAGAAATTCGCAATGGCTCTGGGGATCAACACGACGAGGATTCAGGAGGAGATCGCTGCGATACACTTCAAGGGGATTGATTTTGTCGTGAAGGTGCCTGCTGGGGAAATTGAGAATACTCAAGTGCCCCCGAAGATTGGGTACTTGGAGGTGCTCGTGGAGTTCTCAGGGAAGTTGTTGAAGGAGAAGAAGGGTGCTGTGCTGAAGGTGCTGGACACCAAACTGCTGGCAGGGGTGGAAGCACGAGGAATTGAGTGGCAGCCACTGATCAAGTACAGGACGAGTTTGAATGCCAGGAAAGGGGGCAGGAGGGACTCTCGAGTGAGGGAGGGTGAGGGGAGTGCAGGTCGAGGGGGGCAGAGGAGGAAGACCCCGAGGAAGCCTCCTCTGGATGTGACGAGGGTCAAGGGACCCAGGGCAAGAGCTCCAGGAGATGAAGCTGAAGCTGAAGAGAGTGCTCAGAGTGTCTCTCGGTACATCAACGAGAGGCTGAGGAGGGCTGACGAGAATGAGAGGAATGAGGAGAATCGGAGGAATGAAGGGGCTGGGAGTGCAGCTGGTGGATCGATAGCTGAGCCGATGGACGTAGACGATCCACTCGCAGAATCCGGTTCCGATCAGTTGGAAGAGTGAGGGGTTCAGCTGTGAGGAAAGTTATGACATTGATTCTAATTTTTTACAGGACTTCATCGTAGTTGGTAGATCGTGGGTGATGGTTTTGATAGAATTTTTCTGAATTTCTTTTCCAAGTTATGGAACTGTATTATGAGCTCGAATGATATCGCAGTCTCGGGCTAAAGGAAAAATTGTCGTAAGAGCTCGTGGATAACCAGTGACTTGAGTGTGAATAACTTGTAAATTAAATCTAAAGAAATTCTGGAAAAATTGTTACATAATCCAACTATTATTATAAACGTTCTTCGTGAATTTCAAATTAATATCATCATTCATCGTTTTTGAATGGAGTACCTTATAAAAATGATGACATTGATTCGAAATTTGTGTAAACCTTTCATCGTTGTTACTAGATTATGTTCAATTCTGTTAAGAATTTTTCTGGAGTTCTTTTTCAAATTATAAATAATCTAAGTTATTTCTCATGCATAGGGCATTAGGGAAATGTATCCAGTCAACACGAATCTTTATTATCAGATCAAATAATACAGTTTCGGGCTAGATGAAAAACTCACTATTAGAGCCCATGTATAATATACGACTTTGATTGTGATTAACTTGGAAATAAAATCTTTAAAAATCCTGTAAAAATTCACAGGTAATTCAAGTGTCCAAACATCCTAGAAAAATTGATAGATTCAACATCCTATTTAAATTTCAGATTAATGTCATCATTCATCTCCTTAGAATGGAGTTACTTAAAAAATTGGTCAGGATAATTTAACAGAAAGAGGGAAGATTTAGATGCATTATTCTTTCCATTTCGTTGTTTCTTCATAAATGTTCATTTACTCATCATTTTGGTATTGTTTATTCGTACGTTTATTTACTATTCGCATAATTTTTCTCGTCTACGAAGGGATGGAGCGTCAGAATTTCCTTTAATAACTGTTCATTCTAACTTGTTTTTACGTATTTGGTACATGAAAGAAAAATCACTGTTCGTTATTCATATAATTCATTATTCTTTGGCAGAAGTTAAGGGAAGCGTCAATTGTATAATAGCTTACTCAATATATTTTCAATGTTTTACACTTCTAATTAAAATACACAGTAAATAATGAATTTTTTTATGAAGTGCAGATTTAGGTGCATTATTCTTTTCATTTCGTTGTTTCTTCACAAATGTTCATTTCGTTGTTTCTTCACAAATGTTCATTTACTCATCATTTTGATATTGTTTATTCGTACGTTTATTTACTATTCGCATAATTTTTCTCGTCTACGAAGGGATGGAGCGTCAGAATTTCCTTTAATAACTGTTCATTCTAACTTGTTTTTACGTATTTGGTACATGAAAGAAAAATCACTGTTCGTTATTCATATAATTCATTATTCCTTGGCAGAAGTTAAGGGAAGCGTCAATTGTATAATAGCTCACTCAATGTATTCTCAATGCTTTACGCTTCTAATTAAAATACACAGTAAATAATGAATTTTTTTGCATGTTGTTATTAACTTCCCAACCCAAAGAGAAAAAGTTATTGTCAGAAAAAAATACTCTACTAGTGCGGGAAATTTTATTGTACTGGAAACACTCATTTTTGTCATTTTTGTATCCATAGATGTATTTTTTTACTTGACGAATCGTCAGATATGCTCCGCAAAATAATATATTGTGCACTGAGGGAGGAAAACACGACATTCAGGAAGGAACGTGAGTTATTTCATACGGACGAGTGTCGAAAATAACAGAAATCCGAGGAATGAAATCAGCCACTTTCCCCCCATTATATAAATTAAAAAGAGAATATTGTAGAAAAATATGTCGGAGAGGGAGAAAAGAAGAAAATGGAATGAAACGTAAGAAGAGGAATACTTCGCAGTGACTGGGGCCGTACACTTTTCCAACCCGTGTTTGTCATAAAATTTGACAAAGAGGGCTGAACAACCTGACTGTAACGAAGCAAACTGGTATATTTCTAGTCGAATTGAATAGAGTCTTTGTAAAAAAGAATATATTTTGAAACGTTGCGAGTTTACTTTTCTTTTCAGTCTTAAGAATTTTACGCAGTAAAATAAAGTCGTTATTTATATGGAAAAATAAAATTCAGTAGCGAAGTGGTAAAACGGTACAAGTCAATTTTGACTATTGACCAGTTCTCAATGAATATCTCGAAATCTAAGGGAGACAGCAAAATTGTTGTTATAATCTTTTTTGTAGAGCCGATTGAGTGCTACAACAAACCTAATCATGAAAATTTCGCTATCGCCCTTAGATTCGGAAATATTCCTCAAAAACTCAACTGGGAAATTAGTCGACTTAAACCGTTTTACTACTTCGCCACTGAATTATGCCTTCAAGTTTATAGTCAATTGACACATGATATAATGGAGAATGGTAATGAATAATTAAATTTCATATGAAAATTGAAGTGGCTGGTCGCGTTGCAACACTGGCCCTAAATCGATCAATGGGTTTGACTAATCACTATAGTAAGAGAAAAATAACAAAGTTCTCAAACAAGTCTTACTTGTGCCAAGGAAAGAGTTTTTTGAAAATTATCAAAAAAGGATTTTTTGTACCAAACAGGCAGAGAGTTCGCCGGAATGAAAAATTTTTGTCGCAAAAATAGATTTAGTAGTCAAAAAAAAATTACATTCTCTGTACACGCAAAAAATTTAATTTCTAGCACTACTCCTTCGTTATTCGATACTCCCATACGTATTTTGCTCCCGAAAAATCTTTGTTTTATGCGAAACAAGGGATAGTAGTTTTTCGTTTCGGCTGGCTAATAATTACAGACAAAAAATGAACCCTTAAATGAAACAATAATAATGATATGATAGCAATCTTGTAACTTAGGGATAAAATATTTGTTGATAAATTTTCCTCTGTATGAGATATTTTCATCCTGAAAAGGCACCGTCTGGTGCGAATTATCCGCCTCTTGAGCCAAATATTTCGTTGCTGTCGAAAGCAGAACGATTATTCATGCTTGAAACTTTCAAATTCGAACCAAACAAATTCTTTTATGGCAATTTTCAACTAGCGATTTTATTGGCCCAAACAAGACTTGATTGACAACGTGTTTGTTTTTCTCTCAGTGTATAGTGGGTGGGTCCGAAGACTAGAGCTGCTTATATTTGAATTTCTCTAGATGTTGATTTGACTATGCAGTAGACTTGACTCCCGGAGCATGCGCAGACGCAGGTCGCAGGTGAATAAGTCAGAAACGCATGGTGTCTTAACCTCGATGTTCCTATTTTCAAAACATTGGAGTTCAACAATTGAAAATGGGTTACAATAAGTTCAAGAACAAGAAAAAGGGAGGACAGGCGAAAGTCAAGTTGTTTAAGAAGAAGCAGAAGACGCCGGAGAGTAAAATAATCGAGGAGCTGCAGGCCCGTTACGAGACGGTGAGTCAATCATTCCTCCACCAAACCAAAACATTCACTTTCATTGCCATATCCATTGATTGTGGAGAATCTATTGGTCATTAAAATTAATTTCAGATCGATGAACCGAATATCAAAACCTTCGAGGACCTTCCTTTGTCTTCACAACTACTTAAAGCCCTGAAGGAACACAATTTTATCGAACCAACAGACATCCAGAAGCAGAGTATTGGCCTAGCTCTCAGGGGGAATGATATCCTGGGGGCTGCGAAAACTGGAAGTGGAAAAACATTGGCATTCCTCATACCAGTGAGTATCAAAACTCGAAGAGAATACCAGGAATATTATTCATATTATGATAATTCGAAGAATGTGGGAGTGAGTTCAGAATGAACATAATTTTGGAAATATCTTCAAAATGATTATAGGGTGAATCCGTCCAGTGTTCGAACGAATAACGTCACAGTTATTTTTGACGTAGATTTAAAAATATGACCAAGTCGAAAATTGATTTAAAAATAATTATAACTCCCCTGTACATCTCCATGATAATAGAAAAAAATATTATGGATATTAATTGACGATACAATTAATGATATGAATACAAAAAGCTGAAAATGTGTGAAAACAAAATAATCGAACTGCGAATTCTGTAATGGGAATATGGTATTGGCGGCGTGTCATCGAAAACTGTTTTTTCCGGTGGTAATAATGTAACTTAGACATTTTCAATCATCACAATATCATTTGGAAATGTCATAATTTTAGTTTTCATTTATAATGCGAGGAATCTCTACCTTCTAGTAATTTATTTTATAAAAAAAGTACCAATTCGATTACTGGTCTGCTTCGAACACTGGTTGGTTCATCCTATTTAGGGGAGGGTGGGGTAAAACGGACACTTTAAACTTTTTTTAAACTATTCATAACTCAGCTTAGTTTGAGCTCGTCACAAAGGGACCGAATTGTTCTTTGTATTGAAGAAAAAATGATCAAATTTTATCAATATTTCAACCCCTCATTAACATTTTTAAAAAAGTCAAAAGTGTCCGTTTACGCCCCCCCTCCCCCCCATAATTCTCTGTCTACTCCAACGTTCTTTCGCTAAATATTCAATTACCACTTAGAAAAATCAGTCTCTTATGTGACAAACTACCTGCCATTTCACTATGAAAAATACGAAAAGACTATCTTCTTATTTCGATGAATTCAGGGATCGGCATCAATCTTTAGATTATTCATATTAAGAGAAGCTGCACCGTAAAATAATTAAGGTTCACTAATTTTTATTAAAATTTGAAAAATAATAAAATAATTTATGATATGGAATTGTCAACTGACTATTGAATAAATAATTCTAAATTTCATAAAAGGATTTTCGATGAACCAACTAAGCGCCAATTTTTCGAACTCAATTTTTGATTGATAAAATACTACGGAATTTGAATATTTAATTGATGATTAATTTAATAATTTAAAAATTGCAGAGTAATAGTAATCAATTGACTAATTCGAAATTTAAGTTTATTTAAAATTTATGATCATTCTGATGTCTGAATGAATAATTCGAAGTCAGTAAGTCATAACTGATCAAATACTCGTGTAACATAATGCAAACGCTTATCCAATATCTACCATAACTTCTTGAATTTTCATGATTTTTCAAAATGAAGAAAAATTATATCTAATGCATCTCATTTCATCTCATTTGCATTTGCACATTTCATTATTCCATTAAGGATACCCAAGTATCTTTTACAGTTTGCTACAGACCCTACTATAGATTCAACCATTTTCAATCATCAACTTTATCAATTCAATTGCGTGAGAAAAATTTGATCAATAAAATAATTGGAATTAACAAATAAATAATTGGAATTGTTTAAACTTTCGTAAATCTCATGTTTTTTACCATGAAATCGATTTCTGGTAAAATTCTGAATATGAATAAATTTGTTACGATTCCGAAGAAATTATTTTTATGGTGGAAAGTTGATTGTTTATAAATTATTTATAGAAAATGCTGATGATTTTCAAGAATTGCATTTTTCAAATTATTTCATCAATGTGTCTCCAAACGTAAATTTTCTAATATTTTATCTGATTTTTTAAATGTTTTCTAACGGTTCAATATTGAGATTCAAATTCAGACCCGCAAAGTTTGGAAAATAAAATCATTGTAAAATGTTCGGAAATTTAGGGTTAAATGTAGTTCTAATGAAAGCTCTGATGTTCGACTACAAAAGTAGCAAAGCATTTCACTGGAGAAAAAATAGCCAAATCTTTTACAGTTTGGTACAGATCACACTATAGATTCTGCCGTTTTCAATCGTCAGATTTGTCAATTAAATTGCGTGAGAAAAATTAGAAAAAAATAATTAATATTCAACGTCAGTCAAATTACATCTTTCGCAAAATTATTATTTTTTAAACACTTTTGGTTTATAAATAAATAATTGAAATTGTTTAAACTTTCGGAAACCTCATTTTTAATCATGAAATCGATTTCAGGTAAAATTCTGAATATAAATAAATTTATTACGATTCCGAATAAATGATTTTTATGGTGGAAAATTGATTGTCTATAAATTATTTATAGAAAATGCTCATGATTTTCAAGAATTGCACTTTTCGAATTATTTCATCAACCTCCATCTAAAACTAAACCTAATATTTTTTGTAATTTGTAAAATGTTTTTTAATGGTTCGATATCCAGATTCAAATTCAGACTTGAAAAGTTTAAATAATAAAACCATTGTAAAATGGCCGGAAACTTAGGATCCAATGGAGCTCAAATGAAAGCTCTAATACTTGACAACAAAAATAGAAAAGCATTTCACGCGAGAAAAAATAGCCAAAGCATTTGGATATCCTTAAACAGAAAATTTCCTGCAAAAACCCAATTACCCATATGCAGTGGTCTTTCTGCTTCTGAAAGGTCATAGAACTATTATACTGTCAACAATGGAGTCGCGAGCTGGGCCTGGGCGCTCTAATAATCACCCCAACTCGAGAGCTCGCCTACCAGATCTTCGAGACCCTGAAAAAGATCGCAAAGTACCACAGACTCACCTCTGGTCTCATAATTGGAGGGAAAGACCTGAACCACGAGAAGAACCTCATGGACCAGTACAACATAATAATCTGCACTCCTGGGCGAATTCTACAGCATATGGACGGAAACAAATTATTCCACACTCATAATCTCCAGCTTGTGGTACTCGACGAGGCAGACAGGTGCCTGGACATGGGCTTCGAGCAAACCATGAACGCAATAATCGAGAATTTACCTCCGGAGAGGCAGACTCTGCTGTTCTCTGCCACTCAGACAAAATCTGTGAAGGATCTCGCCAGGTTGAGCCTCAGAGACCCTATGTATGTTTCTGCTCATGAACATGCTGAGCACACGACGCCTGACGGTCTTCAGCAGAGTTATGTGGTGGTTAATCTTGATGAGAAGATGGCTATGCTGTGGTCCTTTATCAAACATCATTTGAAACAGAAGTTCATTGTCTTTTTCTCGAGTTGCAAGCAGGTAAATTAATATTCAGTTTTATGTAAACATGGAATCATTTTTAATTATGGGTATCCAAGTAGTTTAACATTTCTTCAATCCTTCTCATGTTCATCTACACAGTATATTCAGTGGAAAACTCCACACTCAGAGAAAAACGACAGTTCCCAAATAAGTCTTATTTGCGCCAAGAAAATATTTTTTTTTAATTATCAAAAAAGGATTTTTTGTGCCAAACCTGCAGAGAGTGCGTCGGAATGAAAAATTTTTGTCGCAAAAATAGATTTAGTAGTTCAAAAAAAATTGTATTCTTTGTGCACACAAGAAATGTCATTTCTAGCGGTACTCCTTTGTTATTCGATACTACCATACGTAAAAATTTTGCTATCTCCCTTAAATTCCGAGAAATTGATTGAAAACTGGTCAGTTGTCAAAATTGACTTATCTCCTTTTACCACTTCGCTACAGTATTCCTTTTTCGTTGTGATTTGTTTGGTTGAGTTAAACTCCATAGTTTTGAAAATAATCTATTTCAAAGAGACCCATTCATGTTTTCCGTGCGTGAGGGGACAATCTATGATAACTATAATCTGAAATAATCTTTAATATAACGAAGAGATCAACTGTAACAGAATAAAAAAATTCTCCACACCTTGATTGAGAGAATTATATTACGAGAGAATGTCAAAAGAAATTTGAAAGTCGACTCATTTCCCAGTTGAGTTTTTGAGGAATATTTCCGAATCTAAGGGAGATAGCGAACTTTTCGTAATTACATTTGTTGTAGCGCTTAATCAGCTCCACAAAAAAGGCTACAACAAAAATTTTGCTATCTCCCTTAGATTCTGAGAAATTGATTGAAAACTGGTCAATAGTCAAAATTGACTCATCTCCTTTTACCACTTCGCTACTGAATTTCATTTTTCCCATTTAATTCTAATTTCTTCCCCTGTTATCCCACCAACTAAAACTCTCTTCCTCCCACCAGGTGAAATACACATACGAAGTCCTCTGCAGAATGCGTCCAGGAATCAGCCTAATGGCCCTCTACGGAGGTCTCCACCAACTGAAGAGAACTGGGATCTACGAGGCCTTCTCCAAGAAGCAGAATGCAGTTCTCTTCGCAACAGACATAGCAGCCCGCGGTCTGGATTTCCCAGGGGTGAACTGGGTGGTGCAAATGGACTGTCCGGAGGACGTGAACGCGTACATCCACAGAGCAGGACGAACCGCCAGATTCCTGAATGGAGGGGAATCTCTCCTAGTTCTCCTTCCCAGTGAGCTGGAGATGGTGCAGAGGCTTCAGGACCGAAGGATTCCCATCAACGAAATCAAAATAAATCCCAATAAATTGCACTCACCTCATGTGAAGCTCGGGGCACTTCTGGTTCGTGACGTAGCTCTGAAGGAAACTGCGCAGAGGGCTTTCGTCGCTTACGTCAAGTCTGTGTACCTCATGAAGGATAAGAAAATTTTTAATGTTCATGCACTCGATACTGACGCGTATGCCAAATCCCTGGGGCTTGCTATTCCCCCAAGAATTAGATTTCTTCAACGACTGCAGAAGAATATTGACAAGAAGCAGGAGAAAAAGGAGAAGAAAGTAGGAGAATCAAAAGATGATGAAGAAGATGAGGATTTAGGGGAGAAACTTGAGAGAAATCGTAGAGGGAGTGATGAAGACTCTGGGAATGATTCTGATGAGGAGGAAGGAAGGAAAAATGCTGGAGATAGTGATGATGGGGAGGGGGAGCAGAGGACGATCAGCAAAGGGAGTGGAGCTGGAATGTTCGGAGGAGATGAGAGTGATGATGAGGATATTCTGACGATCAAGAGGAAAAATGTGGAGATCGAGGGCGATCTTGAGGAGGGGGAGGAGGAGGAAAAGGTGGAGGGGAAGTCCAAGAAGAAGGCCCTGACTAAAGCCGCTGTGGCCAAGAAACTTATGAAGAAGAAGATTGTGGCTAATACGAAGAAAACGTTTGATGATGAGGGACGGGTGAGTTATTTGTTTTTTTGTTGTTTCTGAATGGAAGCTTCTAATCGTTGATTTTGATGGTCTTCTAATTTTGCCTGGAAATTGCGGAGAATGTCATGAAACGTGGAGATATGTTTTTACACGGAGAGAAATATTCAATAAAAATTATGTATCTTTTCTTTAATTCCGGAGCGAAATGTGGTTGTAGGAAATTTTACAGAACTTTCATGGCATTTTTCCGGAGCGTTCCGCAATTTTTATCTGAATCTCTTGTGAAAAATTACGATACCGTCACTTAAATTTTCTAAGTCGATTCCGTAATCGGTGAGTGAATTGTGAGTTCCGTAATTTTTACTGAACATTTCTCTCCGTGTAGAAAATGTGTGGATGTATGGCCGGATGTGTGTGCGAATTTTTCGGAAAATTTTGATAAATCTTCACAGAAAAAGAACTAAAATTGAAGTTAAAAATCTGAAATTTTGTCATGTCATTGGTATTACTTTCGAGAACTTCTAGGCGCAATTTCAGCGCAGTCGGTCAAGTAGTTTCCGAAATACGGAAATTTCTCAAAAACCTTTGCTTCCCAATATCTCGAAAAAAACGCGGTTGAATTGAATTTTTTTACGTCAAAATATTCTTTGTGATAATGTCTATGAAATCAAATGAAGTATAATTTGGTTGTTAATTTTCAAATAAACATGATTTCATAGTGAATACTAGTTATCTCTTCTTGAGATACATTTGATTAGGAGAAATCGAACTTCTCTAGAATTGAAGTTCCTTTTACTTGTCGCAATAATGAGAGTATTTGATTTTTTTCTAGCCAAAAGTTTACTAACTGCAGAAATTCGTTAGTTTACTCAAAAATCAAAATTATTCTCATGATTAAATACGTCGTTATCTCAATCAACATGATCATACGCTGTTCCAAGTAAATTATAATTGAAGTGAGCATTTCGTATGTTGAATCAGGATGAATATTGTTATGCGGAAAAAGCTTTGAGATTCTAGTAAGACGTCGTTGAGTTGAAAGAAGTTTATATTTCTTGACTAAAAAAAATCGCATTAGTTTACAATAACAGAATCACAGATTACGGCAATTTTACACAAACTTGGATATCACAAATTTCGTTCAATGTGATGTACGGAAAGCTCAATTTAAACATCGTCTTCATTCGAGAAAACAACATTCAATTCATTCCTCAATGTAATCATTTCATAGGTACGAATTTTTGATCAATTCATGAAAGCAGAAAATTTCTCGACTAGAGATTATATTAGGTTAAAAAAATAGAACTTTTCCATTTTTGTGGTGAATACATGTGACTTGACGCCAAGGACTGTTTTGTTTGATTCTTGTAACTATATCTCAAGAAGAAATAATTGATATTCACCGTAAGATCTTATTTATTTGAAATTAGTTCAAGTATATAATACTTGTTCCAAGAAAGAAACATTTCAATAAAAATGATTTTTCTATCAGTGTGGCTTCTGTCAAATTGCCCCGCAAACCTGATTTCTTGTACCGAATTCTCTTTCATATTTCGATGTTTAATATTAATCAATTGATTGTTTGTTTGCAGGAAAAAATCGATTCATCAAGATCCAAAGTCTCTGAAATGGCTCGTGAGTACGAGAATCAAGAGTCCTCAGGCATAGACATTGAACTCGCAAAGAAAGTCCTCCAGGAAGAGGATAAATTCGATAGGGAGCGCTTCAGGGAAAGAATAAGGGAGAAACACAGAGAGGAAAAACGAAAAATGAAAGCCCAGAAGAAGAAGGAACAGAGTGATGACGAGGGTGAAGACGAAGAGGAGCCGTTGGAGTCTGGAGATGAACCGCAGGGCTCTGAAGAGAGTGACTCTGATGGTCTTGACCTCTCCTGGTTACCAGATCCAGACAAAATTTATGGCCCCAAGACTTCATCCAACGAGGAAGAATCTGAAGGTGAAATCGAACAGATCCACAAACCTTCGAAACGAAAATTAGTGACTCAAGCGGAGAACGACGAGAAGAAGAGCAAAAAACGGAAGATCAAGGTGACAGAAAACAGTGACCTTTTAGCTACTGAGGAATTAGCTCTGCAGTTGCTTCGCAGTTAACACGAGGTTTATTGTTGAAAAATGTAAAATAAATTTTTATGAAATTGAACTGATGCGCAGGTGTAAATTAATATTTTTTGTATGAGTTTACGAAAGTATTGAAGGTAAATTCAGTTGTCGAGTTATATTTCGTCATCCAGGTGGTAATTCAATCATCAATAATTAAATTTTTAATTATTCTAGCAACACCTATGCAGCTTATAAATTTTCAGAATTAAAAAAAAATGAGAATACCTTTTGTAGTTCACACAATTTTTCACAAAAAAATCTTTTGATATTTTATCATAATATCACTAGTTTTACTGAATTAGTAAAACTTACTTTGAATAATATGAAATTTTTGTTAACTAAGCAATTATATCTGAGATGAGTGTTTTCCACGACCGAATTTTGAAAGACTTTTCCATGAAATTATCCACAAAAAAAGGTGTTTTTAAATTTTCTAAACGTCTAGTTTCACAGATATTCCTAAAATAATCTATAATTTAACGAAGAGGCAACGATAATGGAACAAGGCAATTCTTCCCGACTGAATTCAGCAGATGATATTACGTTAAAACTTCAAAAGAAACTTCCTGTACAACCCCGCACGGACGGAGCCCTTTTGTTTATAAGCGTGGAGTACACTCTAAACAACTAGAATGTAATGACTTCAAATCAACAGAAAATTATGAAACTGATATGTAATTCACTACTGAAGTGGTAAATGGAGATAAGTCGACTTATCTCCCAGTTGAGTTTTTGAGGAATTTTTCCGAATCTAAGGGAGATGGCGAAATTTTCGTAATTACATTTATTGTAGCACTTAATCGGCTCCACAAAAAAGGTTATAACAGAAATTTTGCTATTTTCCTTAGATTCCGAGATATTGATTGAAAACTGGTCAATAGTCAAAATTGACCAGTATTCCTTTTTCGTTGTGGTTTGTTTGGTTGAGTTAAACTCCACAGTTTTGAAAATAATCAATTTCAAAGAGACCCATTCACATTTTCCGTACGTGAGGGGATAATCTATGATAACTATAATCTGAAATAATCTTTAATATAACGAAGAGATCAACTATAACAGAATAAAAAAATTCTCCACACCTTGATTGAGAGAATTATATTACGAGAGAATGTCAAAAGAAATTGTTGATGAGAAATTAACATACCATCTACAAAAGATCTTCCTGAACATTTTCTCCTAAAATCACTTATTTCCACATGAATATATAGTTAACGAAAATATCATAATTAACTTATTCTGATCATCAAAAACTCCTCTTCCCCTTCAAAATGACCAACCAATCGCACCCCCCAGATAAATAAAAACCACAGTAACAACATTACAAGTCGTTTAATTGACCAGGGAAATTACAATGACTGGGAAAATGACTTAGTTCAACTAATCGATCACAATGCATATATTACAAAGCCTCTCTGAATCAAAAACTCCTCAACTCTCAAAAAGCAACGAATCAGCATTCTAAACTGTACAACGGGGATCACCTCGCCCCCGCCTCCCCCTCAAAAATTGTGCAGTCCTAAATTCATGAAGTGTTCAATCTCAAGAATCAGCTCTAAAATAGTCCACCAGCTTCAGAAACATGAGTCGTGAACCTTAATAATCAGATATTAAAAAATGTCAATTGGTTTCTAACTCCTCCAACGATCCTAATCCCCCTCAATCGCTCTTTCCACGATTAAAATTCACTCGAGGCAATCTTGATGTGCTTGAGGACGCTGTCAACCACGTCTCGACTGGTGGCAGTCCCTCCAAGGTCAGCGGTGTGAACTCCAGCATTGATGGTCTTGTTGATGGCAGTTTGGATGACAGTGGCATGAGTCTTGTGTCCAAGGTGACGTAACATGTCACAAGCTGCATTCAACATGGCAATGGGGTTTGCAATGTTCTTTCCAGCAATGGCAGCACCAGTGTTACGTGTTGCTGGCTCGAAGATGGTGTAGTGATCCCCATAATTCTTGCCAGCGAGGAGACCAGCACCTCCCAGGAGACCACAAACGACGTTCGATACAATTGCACCGTAGAGATTCGTCGTCAGAATGACGTCAAACTGGTGGGGGTTGGAGACAAGTTGCATGCAGGTGTTGTCGATGATCATGTCGTTGAGCTGGATGTCAGGGTACTCCTTGGCTACTTGTCTCGAGGTCTCCAGGAAGAGACCGTCCGACAGCTTCATGATGTTCGCCTTGTGAACAGTCGTGATCTTCTTTCTTCCGTTACGCTTTGCGTATTCGAACGCGTAACGAGCTACTCTCTCGGAGTTTGATCTGGTGATGATCTTCATGCTCTCGACAACTCCGTCGACAGACTCGTGCTCCAGCATTGCGTACTCGCCCTCGGTGTTCTGGCGCACCATCACGATGTCGATGTTCTTCTGGCGGGAGTTGACACCGGGGTAGGAGACGTAGTGCAGAACGTTCACGTAGAGGTCCAGCTGGTTGCGGAGGGCCACGTTGCGGGAGAGAACGCCTGCCTCTCGGGAGCGAGTCTCGATGTTTCCTTTTAGGGCGACACCGTTACGGCGGATCGAGGTGATGGCGAAGTCCAGGTCCTCGTTGTCGTCTGCGTTCGGGTCGATGTCTACGTCCTCGAAGTCCACGGGGACTCCTGCGTAGCTGAATACCTGGAAGAGGTGTTACTGGTCAGTTTGGGGGAGAAGAGAACATTTGGGGGAGGTGGGTGTTGGGGGTGCTGCAGGTGATTTGGAATTGTGGAGGAGGTGGTCCTGGAGGTTTTAAGGGATTAGTAGAATCGGAGATGGTGCACAGGCCTTTTCATTTTCATGTAGAATGAAATCGACACTTCAGACATTTTTTTTAATATTCATAATTCAGGAATAAATCAATCAGTCGAGGTCAGTCTGAGATTATTACGAGAGAAGGACATGTACAGTCGAGCACTAAAGTTCGTAAACAGAATACATTGAATGCAAGTTCAGATTGTTCACGAACTTTAGTGCTCGACTGTATTCTTCAAGAAAAAATCCATTTCACCAAGAATTGAATGACGTTTTAGAATTTGAACAAAAAAAGTCTAGTGTTCATTCTATCCCCTCGTCCCCTACGATTCAGATGCAGATTGCGGGTGGTTTGAAACTTATACGTGGAGAGTCCTGAAGATTTTAAAGGATTAATAGAATTATTAAAGGTAAATAGGTGTTTTTATTTCAGAGATATAAGATTTTCGGGCACTTTTAGAGAATTTACATAAGGGACGATGGGACATAATTGATACTTCAATTTTTTTTTTAAATATTCATAACTGAGAAATAGATCGATCAATCGAGCTCAGTCTAAACTCATATAAAGAGAAAGAAGTGTATTCTTCATGAAAAAAAAAATTCTATTTCAGGCCCGGGTGTACTATCTTTTGAATGTTATCTGGATTTTTTTTATCTTTCGTAATCCAAAATTGTCAATTGAGTGGTACATCATGTAGAAATTGCGAAAAATTATGATAGAATGATAAAAAAAAATACAAAAAATTCTGAACTATTTCAAAGAGCGTTTTTAATTGAGATTCAGAATGAGTTGAAAAAATTGGAAATTACAAACATCTGATTCGCTGTGGCAAATTATCTATTAGCTGTCATTTTCCATGGTGGATAATAACACATTAACTCCACACATTAACTCCTCATGGAAGTGACAGCTAGATATCTCAATTTTCAAAACAGTGGTATGTAGCCATCTGCCATTTTTGTGATAAAAATGTGATTCAAAAATTCTCCAAAATATTACAACTTTTTTCAAAGAGCCTTTTCCGTAATAAATGTCTCTGTGCAGTGTGGGAAAAGATTCACGAAATCAGACTTCCCTCTGCATGATATTGGATGACAGGCCGCTATTTGTCAGCGTAAATCAGATACATTTTTCAATTTCTTATTATTCAACTTATTCTGAATATAAATTAAAAATGCTCTTTGAAAACATTGAGAATTTTTTCTACTTTTTTAAAATTATTTATTCATAATTTTCCAAAACTTCTGCATAATGCAGGACTTAATTGACAATTTCAGATGACGAAAGATGAAAAAAAAAACATCGAGATAACATTCGAAAGATTGTACACCCGGGCCTTCATCAACAATTGAATAAAGTTTCAGCATTTGAGAAAAAAGTCTAGTGCCCATTTTGTCTCCTCGCCCCTGTGATTCGGATGCCGATCGTTTGAAAATCAGAAATGGATCATCTTAGAGATTTTAAAGGATTAATAGAATTATTATAAATGGTAAATAGGTTTTTTTATTTCAGAGTTACTATATTTTTGTTCCCTTTTAGCGAATGTACGGTAAGGGAATGTGGGAAAAATGAACACTTCAGTCATTTTTAAAAATACTCATAACTGCATCGATGAATAAATGATCAATTGAACTCACTGTGACCTCATTACAACGAGAAAGAAGGGTATTCTTCAAGGAAAAGAAATGACTTAATGCCATCTATAACTTAGCATTTGAAAAAAGTCGAGTGTCTATTTGGCCCTTTCAATTCCTATAATTCATCATTTTCGCTATTTTAAAGGGATATTACAATTAATATGATATTCACGCGAAATTTGCCATTGGTTTTCTGAAGAGTTTCCAGTTCGGGGGACGGAATCAATATTCCCCCTAGATTCTAAAATGAAAAAGAATTTTCATGAATGGACTTATGGAATTGTTATGGGAATATCTCTGGAACTAATGGGTTCACAAAAAATTGCACGAAACTTTTGGTGTAACTCGAAAAAATTTTGATATAAAACCTCCTTTGATAATTGTTGTAAAATTGTCTAGAACATTTTGCATTGATGATGTAAAAAACTGGAAAAGTCAAGGATGAAAGGGGAGATTTCTTTGTAGGAAAACAAATCGTCGTGGAAGGAAATTCCTCAAATTGATATTGACCTACGAGCTTCAAAAATATTGAAAAGCATCGAAATTTAGTGAAAAAAACATCAAAATCCCAAAAACATCTTCATTTTCATCAGAATACGTGACCGTATTCTGATAAAAGACAACGTTAAAAGACTTTCGTTGTAGTCCATTGGATTTCTAACAAGAATAGTCTACAATTTTATCTCTGAAGCCATTAGACATTTGTAGAATGAAAAATTTTATTCAAACGTGCATTTCTTGATAATTCCGAAATTATCTCTAAAACCATCAATTTTGTAGCAAAATGTCGAAGAATCATATTTTCCTCCCGAAGTGTTTATTCTCAAAAAGTTTACCAAATTTTCTGCACACATTGAGTAGTAAATTGGCCAAACCAAATGAGATAACTCCGTATACTTCATTTTTTGCTGAATTTCTGAGAATCTAATAGAAAAATCCAACTCTCTATAGATGGCTTTCTTGAAGCTCTAAAAAAAGGCCTCATCAAAATTTCTCTGCCTCCCCCAGGCTCAGATACTAAATTATTAATCAAAAATTCATCCTCAGTGTCAATTTTCCGATTTACTTTTATGAATTTTCGTTAGAAATTCAACAAGTAAAAAATATCCAATTCAATGAAAACATCCCAGAGACAATATCCATTTTTTTCTCCTCATATTTTGGAGCCTGTGCAAATAATGAATGTGGAATTCACGTCATGTTTTGATGATAATCTACCTCTTTAACGTATCCCATGAGCTCAGGACCGATTCCAGCCCCAGGTAAAAGTGTCACAGCATGACGACCACCGTAGTGGGCCTTGGGTATTGGCATGATCTTCTTGATTGTCGGTGTTCTGTGTTGAATTTCGAACGCAGACATCGATGTCGCGCACCGGTGAATCTGTGGTGTAATCGCCCTCGACTGGGCATACCTCACTAACGAGCGTGCAGCCATTTTTGCCAATTTTTAATGTTACAACTGAATTTTTTATTCAATGAAGTTTTTTTATTTGATTAGAAAACTTGGGGGTTTGAGGGGGATCCAGACACTTGACCCACTGCTTCTTATGCAGTGTGTCTATTTTAACCAATAACCCAAGGACCTTCGGGGGAGTGAGGAGAGTACTCGCACTTCTTGGGTGATCCACAAATGAATTGACGAGTTGCGAGAGAAGTGGAGTTGGACAACAATTTTCGGGGGTTAAGAATTAGAAGGGATTTGGCTTATCGGTGGAGGGAGGGCGGGGTGAAGGGACAGCCAACAATTGTCTTATTGGGAATTTCCCGGGGAGTTTGTCCAGAAATTGAATGAAAATTCATTTTTGAAGACTTTTTTTAGTTTTCAAAATTGAAAAGTGGAAAACTTTTCGGTTTTTTGGTGACAAATCCCCATTTTCAGGTCAATTTCGAGGCTTGAAGCGTGAAGGGAACTGGCTTATCGATAAATGAGCTGTGAAAATTTCAAAAAATAATTTTAGAAAATTATTATTTTGTGACAAAAAATGCCAATTAAATATTTACATTTATTTTGAAACTTTCTGAGCGTTTGCAGTGTCTTTGTGGAGGGGGTGGAATCGTCATTTGATTTCAAATTATTCGGAGCACTTCCGGTTTCTCGATAATTCTGTCGTTACATTGGCAATGGGCATTCGAAAAAATGTGAACAAAAGAATTCTTCGAACCGAAGAAAAAATATTCTAGCGATTCTAGCCATAAAAAAACCATAAAAATATCATTCCAATTAAATCGAGTTATCAACATGAAAATATAAAAAAAATCCTTCAATTCTCTGTTATTAGCAAATTAAATTTTCCCCAATGGAAAAGAAAACTAAACAAAAAAACTAAAGAAAATCAGCATAAATTCCTCGTTTAAAAATCATTGACAATTACAAAAGAAATCACTCTAAAAAAATAGCACAAAAAATTTAATTCAAGAAGTCAATAATATAAAATAATTATTTCAAATAAATCAATTGTCTTAAAAAAATTCATTCAAAAAGTCATTCTCCTTCGGCGAATTATTCCTCCACCTAAACAAAATAAAAAAAAAAGTAATTGGTTTTACCGCAATTCAAACTTCACCTCAACATCCGGTCGTGGATTCTCGTAACGCCATGTTGGCACTGCACAAACATTTTCGCGGCAAGGAAAGACGCCCCAGACGACGCCGAAGTGCTAGAGTAGCGAGACTCACGTACAGCGTCTGTAGTTGGTGTGTTATAATCCCGAAAATCCCGTGAAAAAAATCCATCAAAAAATCTCCCGGACACGTTTCTGGACTGCAATCGTCACCTAATCAATCGTGAGTACTGAATTTTCCGACATCTTCACGAGGAGAAGTGTTAAAAACCCCTTGATAGCTGAAACGTAGATGTTCCCGGTGGTTTTACCGCCATTTTGCCCACCATGTTGATCATTACTCCTCGGTTATGCCCTTTTTATGCCCTCGTTGGCCCCCAAATCACCTCCAAAAATTCTTGATTAATTATTCCGAGGGGTTTGTCCTTTGGTTCGGAATATTTCACGCATTTCTCAAGAGTCATCACCACCTGTGGACTCCACCAACTGCAGAGTGTGCATTCTAACCGGTAATTTGATTCCAACGACCGTTGTGCGCACCAGATGCATATCAAACGTGCAATCAAAATATTCGTCAACTCTTGGTCTGATCCATTGTTGCAAGACAATAATGGGCTCATTAAAAGAGTCCCTCTTCGTTGTTTATTTTTTTAGCTGTGAATGCTTGAGAACCATCACGTCCATCGAATTTTTCCATTGTGATGACTAAGGAGAAAAATCAGGCGCGTAGGATCACTTATCATCTCCGGTGTTCTGTTTCATCTCTTCGGCGAATTTTTTTTTTACGTTGAGACGGCGGAAGTCTTTAGTTTTGTTATGCGTCTTCGTGGGGGATTTGATACGAGAATTCAGTTGCTTTGCAGGGGATTTGCGACGCAATTGGTTATTCTCGTGACCCAATTCGTTTTTTTAGGGCTTTTTTGCGGGTGGTGAAGGCACGTTTGGATGGCCAGACGCTTTTTTGGTTTGGTTGGTCAATTCAGCTGAGACTTTGGAAGTTGAGTTGACTTTTTTTCACGTTTCAGAACTCTTACTGAGGACTTTTGAAATATATTTGGGTCTCGTAGGATCAGAGAAAAATTATGAAAGACTTTTTTCGTTGTAGATGAAATTTTTTTGCAAAAAAGGTTCTCGATATTTTTCTCTAAGCTTACTCGTTCCCTAGATATTTGTAGAATTATAAAAAAGACGATGCTAGTTTGGCAATCGACTACAAAACAATAGATTTTAGTGGAAAAGGGCAAGATATCCTTTTTGTAGGGCATAAAATTCTTCAGAAGGAATTATTCAAACTCATTAACTCCAGAAATATTTGGAAAATCCTTTGGAAATTATTTTTACTTTGGAGTTCATTTGAATTTGTCTCGAAGTTGTAGAAGTTTTCTCGTTTAATAAATTTTATTGAGATTTTTAGAAATAAATTTGGATTTACGAATCCTACATTTGGATTTCGAGATGTTTTTTTCGAATTGGTCAATCCAGCTGAGACTTTGGAAGTTGAGTTGACTTTTTTTCATATTTCAGATGCATTTTTATTGTTTCAGAACTCATACTGAGGCCTTTTGAATTATATTTGGGTCTCGTAGACTCAGAGAAAAATTATGAAAGACTTTTTTCATTGTAGATGAAATTTTTTTGCAAAAAAGGTTCTCGATATTTTTCTCTAAGCTTACTCGTTCCCTAGATATTTGTAGAATTATAAAAAAGACGATGCTAGTTTGGCAATCGACTACAAAACAATAGATTTTAGTGGAAAAGGGCAAGATATCCTTTTTGTAGGGCATAAAATTCTTCAGAAGGAATTATTCAAACTCATTAACTCCAGAAATATTTGGAAAATCCTTTGGAAATTATTTTTACTTTGGAGTTCATTTGAATTTGTCTCGAAGTTGTAGAAGTTTTCTCGTTTAATAAATTTTATTGAGATTTTTAGAAATAAATCTGGATTTACGAATCCAGATCAATTGGATTTCGAGATGTTTTTTTCGAATTGGTCAATCCAGCTGAGACTTTGGAAGTTGAGTTGACTTTTTTTCATATTTCAGATGCATTTTTATTGTTTCAGAACTCATACTGAGGCCTTTTGAATTATATTTGGGTCTCGTAGACTCAGAGAAAAATTATGAAAGACTTTTTTCATTGTAGATGAAATTTTTTTGCAAAAAAGGTTCTCGATATTTTTCTCTAAGCTTACTCGTTCCCTAGATATTTGTAGAATTATAAAAAAGACGATGCTAGTTTGGCAATCGACTACAAAACGATAGATTTTAGTGGAAAAGGGCAAGATATCCTTTTTGTAGGGCATAAAATTCTTCAGAAGGAATTATTCAAACTCATTAACTCCAGAAATATTTGGAAAATCCTTTGGAAATTATTTTTACTTTGGAGTTCATTTGAATTTGTCTCGAAGTTGTAGAAGTTTTCTCGTTTAATAAATTTTATTGAGATTTTTAGAAATAAATTTGGATTTAGGAATCCTACATTTGGATTTCGAGATGTTTTTTTCGAATTGGTCAATCCAGCTGAGACTTTGGAAGTTGAGTTGACTTTTTTTCATATTTCAGACGCATTTTTATTGTTTCAGAACTCATACTGAGGCCTTTTGAATTATATTTGGGTCTCGTAGACTCAGAGAAAAATTATGAAAGACTTTTTTCATTGTAGATGAAATTTTTTTGCAAAAAAGGTTCTCGATATTTTTCTCTAAGCTTACTCGTTTCCTAGATATTTGTAGAATTATAAAAAAGACTATGCTAGTTAGGCAATCGACTCCAAAACAATAGATTTTAGCGGGAAAGGTCAAGATATCCTTTTTGTAGAGCATAAAATTCGTCAGAAGGAATCGTTCAAACTCTAGACCCAGAGAACGATAGATTTTAGCTGCACATGTCAAGATAGTTTTTGTAGGACATAAAATTCTTGTAAAGAAAGAACTCGTCAGTTTCAGAGATATTTTTAAATTAATGTGTATTTCTTTTTTACTTCGCGGTTGATTTGATTTTATCTTACAGTTGTAGAAGAAATTTTCTCCTTTTGAAACTCTTCTAAATGATTAAAAAAATATAGGGGAGGATTGGGGAAAGTGGAGCGTTTGTCATCGAATTGAAATTCCATAATCTCGCTTCACGAATAAAGATATCAAGAATTAAAGTGGATAACAAACGTTCCACTTTACCATACTCTTCCTTATCTTTAGACCCAGAGAACAATTTCGAGACTTTTTTTGTTGGACGCTCAATTTCCTGCGGAAAAAAAACGTGACTCAACTTACTGTGGAAAAAGTTCTCTGAGATTATGCTCCACACCGCGACTCCAATAGTCGACTTTGACTATTGGTTTGTTTTCAATAGATATCTCCGAATTTAAGGCAAATTATAACATATTTGTTATAACCTTTTTTGTAGAGCGAATTAAAGGCTACAAAAAAGGTAATTACAAAAATTTCGCTATCTCCCTTAGATTCGGAGATATTCTTAAAAAACTCAGCTGAGAGCTAAGTCGACTTGAACCGTTTTACCGCTTCACTACCGTACTCATTCCAGAAATATTCCTAGAATCCTGAACAAGATCTCATTAGTTTGACAATTGTCTTGAGAACGAGTGATTTTACTAGAAAATATCAAGATACCGTTTTTATGGGTTATAAAATTGGCCACAAGAAGGCTTTTCTAACATTTTTATCTAAACTCATTAGTTCCAGAGATATGAACAGAATAATGTGCGCAGTTTTTTACTTTACAGTTGATTTTTCTTTCGAAGTGCTTCTTGAGAATATCAGAAATATCCTCAAATCTAGAGAGTTCGGAGGGAAATGACAAGAAACCTTTTTTGCTTTTTTTGCTGTTTATTTTAAATTTGTTTTGTTGTTTTATTTTTATCTTAAATTTTACACAAAAAAGCTTTTCGACACTTTTCTCTAAACCTATTTATTTATCTACCCAAACAACAGTTTTGAGGCTTTTTTTTTATTTAAGCACAAACCTATTAGTTATTTATCAATCTATGTATACGAAAAAAAAATTAATAAAGAGAAATAGAAATAATAATAAGTACAAAAGCTATATAGCTGGTATAGTCCACTAGGTTTTTTATACATTTATTTTACAATCGAAATAATGAGAAAATTGTCGGCTATGCATTTAATGTTCAGTTCTTCTAATATAGTTAGGCTAGAGCAAGGGGGATAGAATTGGCGAGTAATGAGTGAGATTTTAGTTTTGAAATTATCTCGAGAGCGAGTGATTTTAGCAGGAAACGTCAAAATACCGTCAAAACTTCACAATAGTTTTCCATTCCATTGAATGAAAAATTATGATTCTCATCAGTACTCTCAATAATTAAAAAAAGTTGATGAAAAAAAAATTTGTTTACTTGAATTACGTCGAACAGTCGTTTTTCGACTGTTTCATTTCGCCCCACTCTCCCCTATTAGTCAGAATTTTGTTATCAGTGCAGTAAGATATAATGACTCATCTAATTTTCCAACTTTTTCAAAATTTTTGTTCATAGTTCCAAGGCCAAAAAATGAGTAAATCCAAGGATTCGCCAGTCAATGAGACCGAGACTGAGGAGGAGTTCAGTGTTGAGAAGGTTTTGGACAGGCGAATGAGAAATGGAAAGGTATGTCATTGCTTTGCTTATTACTTTACAATTTTGGTCATCCTTTAAGAGCTTGTGATGGTAACTTTTGACGCCTGATGTACAGGTCGAGTACTTCCTGAAGTGGAAAGGTTACTCGAACGATGAGAACACGTGGGAGCCGGAGGAGAATCTCGATTGTCCAGATCTGATCGCTCAGTTTGAGGAGCAGCGCAAGAAGAAGGAGGCTGCCAGTGGCAAACATCGTGAGGAGAAGGAGTCCAAGAAGAGAAAGAGTTCCAGTACACCAACTCCAACACAGCCAAAGAAAAAGAGTGTTGACGATAAGAAATTGGAAGGTAAGAATCAAGAAAATTGGGTGGTTATTTACACTTCTTGATTTATTTTTGGCCGAGAAGAGACATTTTTCATTCATTAATTAACAAAATCATTCTTCTAAAGAATGAATTTTGAAAATTCTAAAAGTCATAAAACTTTTTCTGATAAACTGCCCTAATAATTTCCTTTTCACAATATTTAGGAAATAATCTGGAGATTTGTAAGATGATTTGAGTGAAAAGTCAATCAAAATCATTTTACATGTATCGCTAAAACTATTAAACTTGCAAAAATAAATAAGTTTCTTGACAGTTTACTCTCTGACAATTAAGCTGTAGAAAAAAGTTTGAAAATCCATTCAAATTATTTTACAAAAACCGTCAGAACTGTTAAATTTTACATAAAAATTGTAACTCATAAAATTTTCCGAAAGAATATTTATCCCCATTTTCCCCTAAATCAGTTCTTGCCAAAATATTTGCGAATTCGGCATAGCAGATGCAATTACAATAATTTGTAGCCAACTACAAAAGATATTTTTTACAGATATCTTTAACAATGAGGTACTGTACTGCACATTATTCCCTTCGATAAAATATTTCATGACATTTCCTCTGAACACACAAAATAATTAACAATTAATAATTATTCAATGAATTAATTAAATAATCAATTAAACATATTATTCACAAAATAATTTTCTTGAAATTAATTCGTAATAAACGCCCACTTTTTTCAGGCTTTGACAGAGGTTTAGAACCCGAGAGAATCATCGGTGCAACTGACTCAAGCGGTGAGCTCATGTTCCTCATGAAATGGAAAGGCACTGACGATGCAGATCTCGTGGCAGCACGTGTTGCTAACGAAAAGTGTCCCCAAATCGTTATCAAATTCTACGAGGAGAGACTCACGTGGCACAGTCCCACGCACGACGAGGAGGGCTCCAACAAGCCCGACCCAGAGTAGCCCTCAGCCTTCCCATACACCTACACAGCTCGTTTTAAGATTTGTCATATCTAGGGATTCCTCAGAAAAAACAGACTCATAATAAACGACATCTAAATATTAGCAGTAAAACCTTCAAAGTAAATAACTAATTACTAAAGTAAAAAAAAAATAAACGTTGAATTATCTTTAAAGAGGGTTTGAGCCCAGAAAATCAGCTGATTACAATTTTTATGAGTGGAGCAGACAAGATTGGAGGGATGGAAAACGGTATATCGATATTTTTTTTACCAGTTAATAATAAAACAAAAAGGATGAAAGTAGATTTAAGGAGTCATTTCTGAATGACACTTCGATAAATTTCAAAAGAATCGTTCAGTTAAGGAGTTTGTTAACGAATTAAGTCGAATTATCTCGTTAATGAGTCATTCTATGAGGAATTGTCACGTCCTTTTGTAGTTAACAAAGTTTCCTGCAAAATAGATCTGACTTTTTCCCTTGAAATTACTCTTTACAGAAATAATTTGATCATTAACGAATCATTAATAAAGATTGTATTATCTCTTTCGATCACTAATAAAGATTGAATCATCTTCCTCGAGATAAATTCAATTAATGAATCATTAACGAAAATTTCGTGTTTGACTTACCGCTAGTTGTAATTGTCTCGTTGACGAGTGATTTTGGGAGGAAATTTCAACAACATTTCGTCCTAAAATCGACAGTTTTCGAGAGTAATTAATAATGAAGAACAGTTGGATGTCAACTCGACATAAATCGTTTCACATTTTCACGAATAAGTTTGATGTGACAATTTTATGACTGGGTATAAGAAGGAGTCGATGCATGGGACAAAATCGTCAACCCGACTTTTGCTATTTGATGCTCAAAACAAAAAAAAAAATGCACCAATCGTTCATCGTTCACTGAAAGATCCATAATTTTTTTATTTTGAAATTCGTTATTTTTGGAACTCAAACGACTAGAGACATGTTCACTGAGTAACATAAACCGTTTCGCCCTAGGTTAACTATACATTAATACCATAATTAGAGATAAATAGGTAAGTTTTTTTTTGCAAAAACTTGAGAATCGTTGATGCAGTAGAATGAGGATTATCCCTGCAGGATGGCTTCAGATATCTTGAGATTCTTCAGTGTTAAAAATTTTATAATTAAAATTTATTCCACTAATGTTTAGTACAGATGAGGACTCGGGGTTTGTTTACTTTGTTTTTTTTTTTGTTACGTATGGTGCGGCAAATTTTTCTTTTGATTTATTATAAGTACGTTTCCAAAACTTCTACTGTAAAATAAAAACGATTGACATGTAAAAAAGACGATGAATTGTCTTGTGAACTCATTGAATTGGTTATTATTAGCGGAATTAGCGAGGATTGGGGAAATTATCATGGTAAGTAAAAATTCATTTCAATCAATTTTTTTTCTTTTATTGTTTTGAAAGACACAAATTCTATTGATGAATTTCCCTGAATCTCTTGCTTTATGAGATTTCTAATCTAAAAAGATCTACAGATTCGTGAATGATATTAAACCACAAATTTTAATTTGAAAATGATTATTTTGCTTATATTGGTTGAACTAATGTTTGTTGAAAAATGTGGAGAAAAAATTTTTGTAGTCCAATTCTCTACTTCTTCTTTTCAATGAGCTTTAGGTAAAAACGTCAATTGACATTTTTGGTTCCCCATACAAATTTCCACAAGAAAGATTTTCTGACCTTTTTTTCTCATGAAAATATTAATTTATAGAGACAAAAAAAGTATTCTGCATAAAAATTATTCCACAAAGATCTTTCTTTTGGTCCAAGAAATTTCCTCGCAGAAAGATCTTTTGGGAATTTTCTCTGGACTCTTTCAAAATAATCAGCTAGATTACTAAAGGGGAAGGTAGACAAAATTTACAAATTCCATAAAAATAATTCTTAAAATAAAAAAAAATCCTTTCTTCAATTATTCTTTCCAATTCACTTTATTTACATTCGATTAATTCTTCCTTTTGAACTTCTTAACATGTTTCTGAGCTCGAAAGCCGTTTTTATTATTGAATTTTCGTTTGTTCCCACCAAATTTCCCTGATAATTTCTGGTGTCGACCTATCTCCCAGTCAATTTGCTTAGCACTAGCTCCGTCAGTATCGCTGAGTGCATTGGACCCTCCGGACTTGTGTTTCGATTTTCCCTGCTCCTCCAACATCTCAGCGAAGTCCTCAGCGGACATGAAGACGTTATCCATCCCCTTCTTCTTCATCGACTTTTGGAAGGGATTGTCGTCCTTGGATTTTTTGGACCTCTTGGTTTTCATGGGGGAGGATTCGTCGTCTGAATCGTTGAATTCCATATCACTGACGTCCTCGTCGTCGAGTTCGTCGAGGTCTAAGTCACTGTCTTCACCAAGATCATCTTCATCCATCGATTCTCCATCATCGTTGTAGAATGCATTATGTTCGTCATTGTCTGCCGCATCTTCAGGTTCGTCGTCATCATCTTGGTCCTCGTCGTCTTCAATCTTCTTTAGACCACCTGGGGGATAAAATAAATTCCAAGATGAGGGACTGAATGTTTAAATAATTGAGGAATGATTACTGAAATGATGAAATTGTGGAGATTCAATGGAATGATTAACTCGATTAATATCGCCAACTTCGGAATGAATGCACTTGGAAAATGTCGAAAAACTTTTTTGATTATAAATTTCAATATAAAATATTTCTTAAGGATTTTAGTATATAATATCATAACAAGGGATTTTGGGGCAAAATATAAGATTTTTTGTACGAAATTGAATTTTCTACGAATTTTGGCTGAATTTTCTACGAAAATAGTAGCCAAAGTATGACTGTAGAATCTATAGAGCACGCAATAAGCTGCGAGCTGGTGATGAGAAGACTGAAAGCAACAGATAGAGACTGGTGGACAGACTGGAGAGGAAAGAAATCAAAGAAGCTGGAGGAAGAAGTTAATAAATGCCCTAGCGGGAGAAGTAAATGTACCGTTGTGTATAGGACTAGCTAAGATAGAAAGAGTGCTGAGAGATTACAGCGAAAAGAAATTTTAAGAAACTAGAAATTGCGAAAGTGCTCAAATTGTGATACTGTGATATTACCATCATTTGTTACACCCTAAAGACATTATTGACAAAAACAATTTATTGGAGTATTATGGAGATATTTGTTGATTGGCTTGTGTAGATGTAAAACTGTAACAGTAGCATCAAGGAAATAAAGTATTCTATTCTAGTAGCCAAAGTTTCAAAAGGATTCCCTGACTTTTACCTATATTATAGTGTGTAAAAGTGGATTCCGACAAAAAAAACAAGTTGGAAATTACTCTTGTATTGTGTATAGTATAGTTATTTTTGCTAATAAATTAGCAATATACTTGCGAATAGTTATTTTATACATCATTTCCTTCTGTGATGTATAATTTAATGTTTCTTTCATTTTATTCAATTGAATAAGATTTCCTTTTACCTAATTTTGTCAGATTTTCAACTTAGTGGAATGTTATCAGCATCATTACTCTTATTATCCTTTTTCTTCCATACAACCGATTGTCTTTTTTACAGTTCTATCTCTCCCCTCAGCCCTACTATAAAATGTTAATAGAAAAATTTTATTTACATGTACTTGAATGAATTTGAAACATCACATTTGAGGCAAGGTCATTTTCCGGGAAATTCATGAAAAATTCGAAATCTTCAACAATCATTATAAAAATCAAATCAATCAATATAGCTATCGAAATCATCTTTCAACTTCGACTTAATGGCATTAAAGCAAATATTTTAAGCTACGATTTAATTCATTTGAAGCACAATATTCAAAGATATCCCCGGAATTTTGATTTAAAAAAAATACGAAATTTTTGAAAATTTTCGAATAAATCAAAATAACGATTATTGCTATCGCCTTCATCTTCGAACTCGGTCAAAAGGCCATCCAAACAAATTTTTAAGCCATCGAATGATGGATAATCAATTTAGAACATTTTTTTAGTTATCGTGGGACAACCGATTTTCAACAAAATTAAAAAATTAAAAAATCCAATCGATGAATCAAATTTTAATTAATGGCGATCTATAGGGCCCAATAATACCTTCATTTGAAAAAAAGGATTGAATTTCATCCATTCCTTAGCGAATAATTGAAGAAAAACTTGCACTTTTGGGATGATAATGGGCGGATATAACAAAAAAATTGCAGAGGGCTGTATCTTCGATACAGCTGTAATTGTACGTGGATACGTCCATGGTCTTTCCTTCTTTCTCGAAATTCCTAGAAACTCCTTCAATTTTTTTCGAAATTTCAAGAAACTTCTCAAATTACCTCGAAATGTCTAGAATTTTCTAGAATTCCGATAGATGGCGCTGCACATAAGGACCATTTCCCGAAATAACCCCCATATTGAAACCATAGACGTATCCACGTCAAAATCCAAAACTTAAATTTGAACGATTACAATGCTTCCACTTGGAAGCAAAAATAACTCAAAATTCAACAGGCAATAAAAATTGCGATGTCCCCATCAACTGTACCTTTTTTAACTTGAGCCCCAATATCCCCAGCAATGTCCAGCTCTTCGAAATCCTCCCCTCTCATGCCATCCAACAGCTCATTAAACTCCTCGCTATTAACGCTGGCATTATCACTGACATCCTCCTCCTCCTTGACCCCCCTGGCCTCATTCTTCCTCTTCAAATACCTATACAGGAACAGTTCATCCACAGGAATGCGTTCCTCCTTCTCGTTGAGATACGCCGCGCTGTCCACAGGCAGGGTCCTCAGCCCCCTGGGCGTGTAATGCCCTCGAACAGCCAGAGGGTCGTTGGTCTTCGACACCTTCTTGGCCCCCAGTTTCTTCGGGTTCTTGAACACGTATCTGTCCAAAAATCTGATCAACGTCAGGTCCTCCAGAGGATCCCCCGTGTAATCTATCGCCTTTCCCTCGATCATCTTCGAGGAGAATAGAGAGACACTCGGGTGGAAGTGGGAGTAGAGGGACGTGAGCTCGACTGGAGGAGCTTTCACTGCTCCAGACCTCAAAGGATTCATTGAAAATGGATCGTAGAAGGGATTCGTGTCCTCTTCGATCTTAATTATGTCATTTTTGTCGTCGGGGTTCGAAGGTTCTACTGGTGTTGATACGACGTTCGAGAGGACAATGGTATTCTCCACATGCTGAACATCATCATCATCATCATCTGATTCATGATCTTCTTGTTTTTCCTTCTTGCTTTTTCCTTTTCTGCTCTTGGTTTGAGAGCTTTCAGAGCCTTTGGGGGATTCTTCTTGGGCTGAAGAGCTTTCGGGGTCTTCCTTTTCGATTTTGACGACCGTCGGACGCTTGAGGATCATCTGCCTGAGGTCCTTTCGGGATTTGAAGAGCTGGGAGACTGTGTAGAGGGTGGCGCAGGCCATGCAGGCTGGGAAGTACATCGAGGCTTGGAGGACTCGCTTCACGAATGCGTAGACACGGGAGGTGTTCTTGTCGGACTTCATGACCCGGTAGAGGAGGTTCAGGAAGACTGCGCGCTTGGAGACTGTGCCTATCTGGGGGTCCAGGAGCTTCTTGTAGAAAGCTGTGTAGAAACGGTTCTCTTGGCTGGGATTATCGGTGGTGACCTAGAACGATTATTGATTACAGACATAATTATTATTAATTATTATTATTTAATAATTATTTCAATTGTTATTAATTCCGTATTAGTAAATTAGTATTTATTATTAGTAAATTATTATAGATATTTTAACGAAGTGTGAATACCCTCCTGTTGAGTCGTTGAGTGGAACGAGGAAAAAAAATTGAAAAGGCTAAAAAAATTATTCATCATTGATAATTCTTCATATGAATTCGAGCTTTGATGAGCTTAAGGAATTAATCCATCAGATTCATTTATTAATTTTTTTTTAAACAATAACACGCCTTTTCGGGACAGGCAGAAACGTGAATTATGAATTAAAAAGTTTGACACTGACGGTAATTTTCATATGGGCATAGAATTTTTATCAATTTTTTTATGATTTTTTATTTTTGCAGTTCTAAATTGATTATTATTAATAACTAGACTGTCGATTGAGCACAAACTTAATCAGAATGTTTCTATTCATATCAACTTTTGTTTAGAATTTATCTCAGACTTTAATTTTCATAATTCGAGTTACGCTTATACTACTTTTGAGGGGAGACTACTATGAGTTTTAAAAGTCGTGGGTTATTGGAGTGAGACTTTTCATACGTTGAAGATCGATTATATAGATCTAAAAACGAATAATTATTGAAAAAAAATTTTTTTTTATTGTTCGTTTGCCCGAAAACGCTTAAAATGCTAAAAGGGGTCCAGGGCCTCCAATTTTTGAGCTACAAAAGATTTTTTTTTCAAAATTTTCGGAAAAATGTGTGGAACAACAATTACGAACTAATTCTTTGGAATTCGACTCCTACACAGCTGACCTGATTTATGTTTTAAGGCCGTCCCGCTTCGCTACTGAATTCATACGTGTTTTAAATTCCAATTTTAAATCTTTTGAGAAACTATATAAACTATAGTATATTATAGTATAAACTGGTGTATATAATTCGCAGTGGTTCAAAGCCCTTTGCAATTGTGAAATGCTCTTAACAATCTGATCTTCAAAAAAAAAAAAACGAATCTCACCTGATGCAGCAATCCCAGTGCATTCAACGCGACATTGAAAGATCCCACATGAACGACCTTGTAAACCGAGTCAATATGTTCATGAACCTTCACAGTCTCCAAATCAGCAAACCGATAGGCCCTGTTGACCCCCGCCAGGATGGCAGCCATCATCCTGCTGTCGGGCTCGCCCCTCTTCAAACAAGCTTTGAAGAACGCGAAATAGACGTCAATAAGTTTCGTTGCCACCTCGGAGTCCCCCTTATTCAGCACGAACTGACTCAACAGGCAAATGGCGTAGTACTGAGCCCTCTGGGCCACATTGGACCTGAACAAAAGCTTCTCAACCTGCTTCAGCACCACCATCTTCATGTTGGGATGCTCCAGCAGTAATTTATTCAGACAGAAAACGGCCTTGGAAGCGACCTTCGACTTCGGATCACCGATTTTATTCACCAGGAAGTCAAGGATCTTCTGCTCCTGCTCAGGATTCGAGATGAGGAGATCAGTCATCACCCCAACAGCTTTCTCACGATTAGCCTCGATATTGTCAGCAGCCACTGATGACAATGAAGTCAATAACTTCTCGTATTGATCCTTCAACTGATCCTCGAAGTACCAGTGGGACAGTAATCGACTCCTGGGGATGAACTTCTGGTTCTTTGGGGCCTCGAAGTCGTTGGCTGATGGCAATTCGTCGAGTTTCTGCTCCTCGAACTTGAGGAGCTTGAACTCTGGGTGAAGAAGGTCCTCCAGGAAGAGATCCCTCACGTCGTTGATTAGCGATTGCTTCTTGGAGGCCCTCTCCTGCTCCCCTTGCTTGAAGACCTTGAAGAGACTCTTCACCTGGGCCACGAGAGCTATCAGACGTGGCAGATTGTACTTCGGGTTCTCCTGGATCAGGAGGATCGAAGCTGCCACCTTGTCCTTCATGGTTCCTCGCTGGGAGGCCGTCTTCAACCAGTCGTACTCAGAGTCCTTGATTTTGGATTTTTTCAATTGGTAGGCTGCGGTCTCCGCTTCCAGGTGCCTTTTAGCCTCGGCTTTCAATTCTAGAATCTCCACTTCGGTTTTCTTGGGGTCCTCAGGGCCCGGGGACTTGGGGAACTCCTCGTACCATTTTTTAGAGGGCGCCGAGATGATGTCTGCTGATCTACCGTTCATCTGCAGATCAAAGGAGAGTTTATCAAGGGTTGGGGAGGGAAATGTAGGTGTGAAACTGGAGGACTTTGCTTTAGGTGGAGATGGTGAAACTCAAACTAGCGGAAGATTCGACAGCGGAAGATCTGCTTCAGGCGAATCTACGGATGTAGAAATGTTTTGAAGTAATGTACAAAGTCTTTCGCACTTACAAATTTTTTTTACATGAGATTATTCAACTCTGCCATATTTAAATAAACTTGAAATTGAATCTTTCGCCGCAAAAAAATCCGATAGTTTCAGCTTCTTTTGGAGACGAGTTTACAGAAAATGGATGGAGTGTAGGGAAGATGGGGATATTTTTAAGGAGCCGCTTTCTTAGAGTAAAGTGAGGTGTAAAGAGGAAAATCCTATTTATTTCGTTATCTATTCTAGATATGATCGGGTTAAGAATCAGCCTGAAGTTAAGTTACTTATTGAAATTAATAACGAGTTTTTGGCGCATCTTGAATGGGAAATATCCATCAACGGCGTGGATTTGAGCAAATTCGAGTGCCCTTTAGAGTTTCGTACGGACCACACTGTGAATTATTATTATTATTTGATTTTTAATCATTAAATCTGTCAATTCAATGACGTGAGAAAAATTTGAAAAATCCATGGACAATCTGCGTCTTTTAAATTACATTTTGCTAGAAATAACTTTCTTTGAAGCCTTATTTTTTCAGGCATGAAATCGATTTCTGGTTAAATTCTGAATATGAATAAATTTGTTATGATTTCGAATAAATGATTTTTAGGGTGGAAAACTGATTGTTTATAAATTATTTATTGTAATTTTTTAGAGGAGGTTGGGGTAAAATGGACACTTTTGACTGTTTCTTTAATATTAGTGACGGGTTGAAATGTTGATAAAATTTAATCTTTTTTTTCAATACAAAGAACAATTCTTTGCCTTTGTGATGAGCCTAACCTGGGCTCTATTGATACATTTGTTTCTGAGTTATGAATAATTTTAGAGAAGTCTAAGGTGTCCAATTTACCCTACCCAATCTTCTTCCAAAAGTAAATTTGCTAAATTTTCAGATTTTTACAATGTTTTCTAACGATTCAATATTGAAATCGAAATACAGAGCTGCATAGTTTGAATAATAAAACCACTGTAAAATATTCAGAAACTTAGGGTCAAAGGGGGCTTAAATAAAAGTTCTGCAGAAAAACTAGCCAAATCACTTGCCTTAAAGTGATAGATCATTTAAAGAGAAAATCATGTACTCCAACCGTTTATACATTTTAAGAATAAGCCAATAATGGAAATCTTTCAAATTATCGTAAGTTCATTCTTGTTTTACAGCATGATACCGACTTTGTAATTTTTTTTATATGAAAAAATTCTACAATCTAAAAAAATTGTGAATGTAAAATTGATTCATAAAAAAACGATCCATGTGTCCGTAAACCATTCATGAAAAAATACAGTTAGGGGAGGGTAGGGTAAAACGGACGCTTGACTTTTTTTGAAATATTCACGACGTGTTGAATTGTTCATGAAATGAAATGATTTCATTTTTCAATTGAATAACAATGATTCCTCTTTGTGATGAGCTCAGACTGAGCTCAATTGATAAATCTGTTCCTGAGTCATGAATATTTTTTAAAAAAGTCAAAAGTGTCCATTTTACCCTATCCTCCCCTATTTTGAAAAATAGTGATCTTTCAATTATGTCATGGAGATTTCTGAAACATTGCCTGACATTCCTAAGTTGAGAATCAAATTAGGCCTTTAAAGTTTAAATAGTAAAATCATTCCAATGGGATTTCAATGGAAGCTCTCATGTTAAACGCCAAAGGTTGAGAAGGATTTTCATTAAAAAAATAGTCAAAATATTTGGATATGCTCGGATTTTGAAGAGAACTGTCAAGGAAGTTCTTTTCGAGCTACAAGAGATCTGAATGATTTTGTTCGAACCTCTTCCTCAGAAAATACTCGATGAATAATGGATTCTTATCATTAAAAATGAAGACAGCATTGAATTAATTAATAATTAATTAACTTTCTGTTCCTATCCAATACTTCAAAATTCAACAATGTTGTTATTTCTGACAATAAGTCTACCTACCTCGTGGCTTGCGTTAACCTATTGAAAACAAATAAACATTCCCCTCAAGATCCTATAAATGAGCTAAACAATTGCGCTGCTACAGTCAGTCTTCACTCGCTAACTGCATTGATGCAAGATTTATCTCTGAAGTCACTTTATAATTAAATACTTAATTAATTAATAGTAACTGCTAAAAACACATGTGAAGTTCCCAGTCAACTGAATCTTCACGTGGCTGCACTAGAGGCGACAGGCGAGTTCTCAATACTGCGACAGTAGGGGAGGTTGTGGTTAAACGGACACTTTTGACTTTTTTTAAAATGTTAATGAGAGGTTGAAATGTTGATAAAACTTAATAACTGTTTTTTTCAATACAAAGAACAATTCTCTCCCTTCGGAACGAGCCTAAACTGAGCTCAATTGATCAATTTGTTTCTGAGTTATGAATAATTTTTAAAAAGTCTAAAGTGTCCGTTTTACCCCACCCGACCCTACTCGTACTCTGAAAGATTCATTTGACAAATGTTTAGTAGGAAGCTTGCATGGAGCTCAGGGAAGCGATTTTGCTCGTTTTATGTCGACAGAAAATCATAAATTTCAACCAATCCTAGTTGAGTATTCCGAATCTAGGACTGTCATTGGTTGAAATTTACGATTTTATGCCGACATAAAACGAGTAAAATCGCTCCCCAGTTTACCCTAATTTCCTTATTCACTCATTCTTCATAATCTACAAATAGCTAAACAAAAAAAATTATGGAGCAATATTGCCTAGATATTTTATAACATGGATTGAAAATTAGAGGCTTTTGAAACCAATTATTTCGGTCATGACATTACAAGTGGCATAAAATGCTGGGTAGCGCTCCGTTGGTCGCATGTGAGGAGATAGGGGAGTTGCCGTCATCCATTGGATAAGGCACACGTGAATACTAGAGTTTGGTTGGCTAGGGCTATTCTGTGATTGGTCCAGCGTTTGGCAACCCTTGTGACGTCATTAGCGATTTTAAAGCGTTTGAAATCTTCAACTCGTGACAATCAATTATTAATTAACAAGCAATATTTCTAATGCTCATAAATGAAAAATTGATGATTTCAGACCGAAATTTGAGATTGAAAATTAAAAAAAAATCATGCTAGTTCCCGACTGTTGTGGACAATTTTCAACCCAATTATTAATTATTTAGAAGTTCTTGGCCTCTGCGGTCTGCAGGAATGAGCTCAGGAACGATTATTATTTTTTTCTCTTTTTGATTTGTTTATAGAAATTAAATAAATGACGCCCCTGAAGAGGACCCCGCGGAGGGGTTGAAATATTGGGTTTAGTCCGAATGACTTGATTGTTGTTATCATTTGGACACTTCAAATTTTTAGCTCCTTCAAATCAGCTAAAGACCGCAAAGATTAAGAACCTCTAAATAATTTAAAATTGTCCAATCACGCTTTTTTTAGATCTTCAATATCCGTGATTTAATGATTCAATTTTGAGGAAATTGCTGTGATTGAAAATCACGAATAAAAAATAATTTGAAAATTACAATTTTTGAACATTCCGAGCATTTTCTACAAGCAATTTATAAACAATCAATTTTCCATCATTACAATTATTTGTTCGAAATCGTAACAAGTTTATTCATATTCAGAATTTTACCAGAAATTCATATCTTAGAAAATAAGGTTTCCGAAAGTTTAAATAATTTCAATTATTCATTTATAAACAACGAATGTTTAAAACAATTATAATTCCGTGAACAACGTGATTTGAATCACACTGCATATTCATGATTTTTGTCAAATTTTTCTCACGCAATTTATTTGACAAATTTGATGATTGAAAATGGTTTAATTTATAGTGTGTCAGAGATACTTAGATATCGTTAACTGTCTTCGATCGTCAATGAGGTGAAAATGCCCGAGTGAAATTCCCCGATTTTTTTTTAATTTCCAAGGAAAATTAATTTTTTTAATCAGACCTTGCCATACCGTCAAGAGATTACGACGATTGAGGACGGTCTGTTTTACCTCAAACTCTCCCCTTCTTCCAAATTTTTTCATTTCAAATACACCAGATGCGCGCGCCTCTCTTTCTGTCTCAGCAGTCTCACCAGCCACGTCCTAACTTCATGGCAGCGGTGTCTTGTTTGGATCTGGAAGCCCGTATTTTATACTAATTTACAATAAGGATTAACAACAAACTGCAGACTCCCACAGGAAGCACAAAATGGTGAGTGAGATTCTCATAAAAAAAAGGTTTCATTCAACAATGAGCTCCGAGGCAATTGCTGGCAATATAAACAAAAGTGATCGGTTGGGTTAAGTCTGATGACGTTCACAGGCGGAGCACACTGCACGTCAAAATTGCGTCAACACCTGATCAACAATTAATCCCTCCTAATTAACAATAAAATGCCACTCGTCCTGAATAATCAAATCCCAAATCTATTCAGTTAAAAGCAATTAATTCTCGTTTATCAACTCCAACTCAACAGGATCTTCACTTTTATCTTCTTTCCTTTCATTTTTTTGACTCGTTCGTACATTAAAATGATTAATAAATCAATTATGAAGAAGGGTGAATGAGAGTTATTCATATCAAATGATTTTTCACTGGATTTTCCAAGGATTTTTCGTTGTGTTAAGCCTGATGTTGTTCACAGGCGAAGCACATGACACGTCAAAGTTGCATCAACATCTGATCAACAATTAATCCCTCCTAATTAACAATAAAATGCCACTCGTCCTGAATAATCAAATCCCAAATCTATTCAGTTAAAAGCAATTAATTCTCGTTTATCAACTCCAACTCAACAGGATCTTCACTTTTATCTTCTTTCCCTTCATTTTTTTGACTCGTTCGTACATTAAAATGATTAATAAATCAATTATGAAGAAGAGTGAATGAGAGCTATTCAAGTCAAATGATTTTTCACTGGATTTTCCAAGGATTTTTCGTTGTGTTAAGCCTGATGTTGTTCACAGGCGGAGCACATGACACGTCAAAGTTGCGTCAACACCTGATCAACAATTAAGTTCTCCTAATTAACAATAACATTCCATTCATCCTTAATAATCAATCCCCAAGTTTATTGAATTAAACGCAATTAATTCATGATTATTAACTCCAACTCAACAGGATCTTCACTTTTATCTTCTTTCCCTTCATTTTTTTGACTCATTGTTACATTAAAATGATTAATAAATCAATTATGAAGAAGCAGAAATGAGTGAGGTGTTCATTTTAAAAGATTTGTCACTGAATTTTTCAATGATTTTTCGTTGTGTTAAGCTTGATATTGTTCTCAGGCGGAGTACACCACACGTCGAAATTGCATTAATCATTAATAAAAACCCATTCGTTTTTAAAGGACAATTCCACAATCTATTGAATTGGAGACATGGAATTTACGGTTATTCACTTCAACGTAACATTTACTTTTAGCTTTTTCCCCTCTTTTGCGGACGCATTTTGCGGACGTGTTCAGATTTATAATAATTAATTAACCAATGATGAACCAAATGAGACATGCCAGTTAATCAACCAGTGATGGATTCACAACTATCTACTTCAATGCACCACAGACTTTGCTTAATTCTTCTTTCTTTTCATTATTTCAACTCATTCATCTGTCAAAATAATGATTAACAAACTAACCATAAAGACAGGAGGATAAGAGTTGAATTAGCGCGTCCTAATTAACTATCAAGTTTTATTTTTCATTAACAATTATTCCCAAAATTGAATGAATTACGAATAATAAATTCTCAATCATTTACTCCAGTCACTTTAACTTGACCCAATGTCTCCTGCCGTCTTGTCTTCTTGACTCATTCATAGATTAGAGTAGTCAACTGTGTAATAATGAAGAAGAGGAAGAAAGTTGATAATTTAAAATTTTAAGAAAGATTTTCACGATTGCTTTAGCCCCTACGTTTGGACATAAAGCGTAGACTGACAGCGAGGTCTGACCGAGTGAAGAGTGTCGACCTCCATCCAACAGAGCCATGGATGCTGTGCTCGTTGTACCAGGGCAACGTCAACATCTGGAACCACGAGAGCCAGACCCTGGTGAAGACTTTCGAGGTCTGCGATTTGCCTGTCAGAGCAGCCAAGTTCGTACCCAGGAAAAATTGGGTGGTCACTGGTTCCGATGACATGCAAGTCAGGGTTTTTAATTATAATACACTGGAGAGGGTGCACTCCTTCGAGGCGCACAGTGATTATGTCAGATGTATCGCGGTGCATCCCACTCAACCGTTCATACTTACTAGCAGTGGTAAGTGTCCTCACTATTTGTTTTGGTCTTTACACAGAGACAAAAAACAATGAAAAATTGTGAGAAAATGCCATAATATTTGTTCATCCTTTGTTTAACTTTTCCATTGAAATCGTTCAGTCACAAATATCAGTAGCGAAACGTTAAAACGATTTAAGGCCCGGGTGTACTATCTTTCGAATGTTATCTGGATTTTTTTTATCTTTCGTAATCCAAAATTGTCAATTGAGTGGTACATCATGTAGAAATTCCCAAAAATTATGATAGAATGATAAAAAAAATAGAAAAAATTCTGAACTTTTTCAAAGAGCTTTTTTAATTGAGATTCAGAATGAGTTGAAAAAAGTGGAAATTACAAACATCTGATTCGCTGTGGCAAATTATCTATTAGCTGTCATTTTCCATGGTGGATAACAAAACAATAACTCCTCATGGGAAGTGACAGCTAGGTATCTCAATTTTCAAAACAGTGGTATGTAGTCATCTGCCATTTTTATGTGATAAAAGTGTGATTAAAAAATTCACCAAAATATTACAACTTTTTTCAAAGAGCCTTTTCCGTAATAAATGTCTCTGTGCAGTGTGGGAAAAGATTTTCGAAATCAGTCTTCCCCCTGCATGATATTGGGTAACAGGCCGCCATTTGTCACCATAAATCAGATACATTTTTCAATTTCTTGTTACTCAACTTATTCTGAATATAAGTTAAAAATGCTCTTTGAAAAAATTGAGAATTTTTTCTACTTTTTTCTCATTATTCATTCATAATTTTTCAAAACTTCTGCATGATGCAGAACTTAATTGACCATTTCAGATGACGAAAGATGAAAAAAAACATTGACATAACGTTCGAAAGCTAGTACACCCAGACCTTAAGTCGATTTAGCTCTCGACTGAGTTTTCGAGGAATATTTCCGAATTTAAGGGCGATATGGAAATTTTTGTAATTATCCTTTGTGGAGCTTCGCTCCACAAAAACGGAATAAACAACAATTTTTTTATTCAATTTCCCCAAGAATGTGACGTTTACAATTGAAACAAAGAAATGTTCTCAGTTCGATTTTCATCGTCATCTTAAACCTGAAATTATTCTCAAAAGGAGAAGTAATCTATCGAAAGGTGTTCTTACAGAGAATTTCTTCAGCTGCATAAAGTTTCTTAAAGTGAAACAGAACCCCTGAGTCTATATGAACTTTTAGAATTGTGTTTCCCCCTGCAATTATTATATTTTATTTATGAAACTACTTTATTGACTCAATAATGCAATGATCGAGTGGATGAAGTAATTTCATAGATTTAAAGTAATAATTGTAGAAGAAAACAATTCTAAAATTTCAAATAGACACACGGGTTCCGTTTCCCCTTAAGGGTACTAAGGTGGGGTTACTTTGCTCCAAAAATTGAAATTCGATGATGTATTTGTTTACCAATGTTTACCCAATTTTTTGGAACGCCTCTAAGGACATCCCATGATAAAGCAAAACTTGGATTTATTAATGACAATTTTTGGATAATTAATTTAAAAAATTTCATCCAATATTTTTTCACTCGAAACTTCCCTATTCTTCCAGACGACATGTTAATAAAACTATGGAACTGGGAGAAATCCTGGCGAGGCCAACAAGTCTTCGAGGGCCACACTCACTACGTAATGCAGATTGTCTTCAACCCAAAGGACAACAACACATTCGCAAGTGCCTCCCTGGACCGAACCGTAAAAGTTTGGCAGTTGGGTTCATCCACAGCAAATTTCACTCTCGAGGGTCACGAGAAAGGAGTCAACTGTGTGGATTACTACCACGGAGGGGACAAACCCTACTTGATCTCTGGGGCTGACGACAGATACGTCAAGATCTGGGATTACCAGAACAAAACGTGTGTCCAGACACTGGAGGGACACACACAGAATATTTCGGCCGTTTGTTTCCACCCTGAGCTACCAATTGTCCTCACAGGCTCTGAGGATGGAACCGTGAGAATCTGGCACGCAGGGACGTACAGATTGGAGTCCTCGTTGAATTATGGGTTTGAACGTGTCTGGACCATTGCAAGTATGAAGGGATCGAATAATGTGGCCATTGGTTATGATGAGGGAAGTGTCATGATCAAAGTGGGAAGGGAGGAACCAGCGGTGTCCATGGACTCGATGGGCGGAAAGATTGTGTGGGCGAAGCACAGTGAAATTCAACAGGTGAATATTGATTATAATTCATATAATTCCAGTTCCTCCAATTCAATTTTCGTAAAGAGGCAACTATATGATGCCAATTATAGAATCGAATGGGAATTAACAAACTGTTTAACAACGAAATAGGGAAATATCATACAAGGCAAAACACTCGTCAATTATTCAATTCAATTCTTTATTTCCTTGATGTTACAAAAGTTTTTCTTTGTTTTACATCTACACATGCCTCCCGTCTCCTTCACCATAGAATTGTATCTCCTCTCTCCTCCTCAGAATAACAATAATTTTTTAAAAAGTCAAATAATTCAATAGCGAAGTGGTAAAAGGAGATATGTCAATTTTGACTATTGTTCGGTTTTCAATCAATATCTCGGAATCTAAGGGAGGTAGCAAAATTTTTGTTATAACCTTTTTTGTGGAGCCGATTGAGTGCTACAACAAATGTAATTACAAAAATTTCGCTATCTCCCTTAGATTCGGAAATATTCCTCAAAAACTCAACTGGGAGATAAGTCGACTTATCTCCGTTTACCACTTCAGTACTGAATTATAACAAAATCTCTGTGCGCCTGAATTTCAAGTAAACAATAACACAAAGGTAAACAGATCTTGCCTGAAACCAATGCGGATGTCTACACCGTTTTGAAACGTTTTGAAGAATATTCGCAAATAATTTAAGAAAATTACACTCGTTAATTAAATTTCTCATATTTATGTTTAGATTAACTTTCGTATCTAATTTATATTATTGGTTTCCAAAGTTCAATATCACTGATATTCATTTATCCATTCGAGCATGTTTTCTATCTTTTTTTTGTTCATGCATGATTGAATGTATCCAAGTATCTTGTACAGTTTCATAGGAAATAGCTTTGACGATTTTCAATCATCGAATCCATCAACTTTATCGTAAGAAAAAAATTAGGAAAATACATGCACAATCAGTGTCATTCAAATAACATTTAGTAAAAATGAGTTTTTTGAAACATTCCTTCCTGGTGAATTAATCCCAATTGAAATTATAAAATTAATCATGCAACTTTCGAAAACATTATTTGTTTGGTATGAAATCAAATTCTGACACAATTTCGAGTATCCACAAATTCATTAAGATTTCGGAAAAATTATTTTTACGATGAACAATTCATTGTTTTAAATTATTCATGAAAGACAACTGGTAATCTTTGAAATTTAAAGTTTTTCAAGTGTTTTATAACTCATTTATAAAACGTGGAAATTCCAATTTTTTCAAAGTTCAAAAATGTTGCCTAACTGTAGAAAAAATAACAAGTTGGATGCTAAAAGTTTAACTAGTTGTCACTGCAAAATATTCCATGAAGGATTTCAACTGTCAAGGTGGAGCTGGATGAATACTCTTGACTATTTCCTTTAACCCCTCACCGACGGGGCCGTTTTGTTTCCAAGCGTGGAGTACACTCGATACAAGTAGAATATAATGACTTTTAATCAACGCAAAATTATAAAACTGATATGTAATTGAAGCTACAGTATTCCTCTTTTCGTTATTTGTTTGGTTGAGTTAAATTCCATAGTTTTGGAAATAATCAATTTTAAAGAAAGTGATTCATATTTTCATAGGTCGATGCATGGCATCAACCCCGTACCTGCGGGGTTAATGTTCATAACTCAAAAACAAGTTCATCAAAATGTGTCATTTGGTGCTGTTTTACATGCGATGGTGTGAATTGTATTTTTCTAGCGACAGTTCTGAAAAGTCGATTATCACCTCTGACTTTTTCGTTCTAGGTGAACCTAAAAGCCCTCGGAGAGGAGGCACAAGATGGTGAGCGCCTGCCGCTGGCCGTCAAAGACATGGGCGCCTGCGAGATCTACCCCCAGACAATCCAGCACAACCCCAACGGCCGTTTCCTTGTGGTCTGCGGTGACGGCGAGTACATAATCTACACCTCCATGGCCCTCCGCAACAAGGCCTTCGGTCAGGCCTTAGAATTCGTCTGGGCCTCGGACTCCTCCCAGTACGCAGTCCGTGAGAGTTCATCCGTCGTCAAAGTCTTCAAGAACTTCAAGGAGAAGAAGGTCCTCAAACCCGATTTCGGAGTGGACGGAATCTTCGGGGGCTTCCTCTTGGGAGTCTCCTCGGTCTCCGGTCTCTCCTTCTTCGACTGGGACACACTGAAACTCGTCAGGAGAATCGATATTCAGCCGACCCACGTGTATTGGGCGGAGAACGCCTCTCTGATAGCCCTCGCCACAGCAGACCAGTACTTCATCCTGAAGTATCATGCAGATGTCGTCGCAAATGCTCCGGAGAACGCTGAAGACATTGAAGACGCATTTGAGATGGTGGCAGACATGTCTGAAGTCGTGAAAACAGGTAAGATTTCATAACATTTTCTTGTCTATTTCATTCAACAACGTTCAAGTGCCCTTGGGATGCCATTAATTCGCGGACATTTCTTTTTATGCAACAATTAACAAATTTCTCTTGATCATTTCATGTGCTAAATGGAAAAAGGCCGTACCTGATCTAGAGAACATGAAATTTGGACGATTTGGACTCTGTAAAAATCATTTTGACCCAACTTTTGAGGGCAATTTTTTTTTTGGCGCATACGACCTTTTTCCACAAGTATTTCTGCAATAGTCGAAAAGTAAAAAAAAAATCTTTTCACTGTTTTGTCTTTATTTTTCTGAAATTCGTTCGTTCTTTTGAAGAAGTAAACATTATTCTAGAGAAGTTTATATTGTAAAAAAGTATGGAAAAGGGGTGTATGCGCAAAAAAAATTGTCCTCAAAAGTTGGGTTAAAAGGATTCTAGAGAGCTAAAATCGTCCAGATTTTATGTCCAGATTTTAAGCAAATTTCTGTTGATCATTTCACGTGCTAAATGGAAAAAGGCCGTACCTAATCTAGAGAACATGAAATTTGGACGATTTGGACTCTGCAAAAATCATTTTGACCCAACTTTTGAGGGCAATTTTTTTTTTTTGCGCATACGACCTTTTTCCACAAGTATTTCTGCAATAGTCGAAAAGTAAAAAAAAAATCTTTTCACTGTTTTGTCTTTATTTTTCTGAAATTCGGTCGTTCTTTTGAAGAAGTAAACATTATTCTAGAGAAGTTTATATTGGAAAAAAGTGTGGAAAAGGGGTGTATGCGCAAAAAAAATTGTCCTCAAAAGTTGGGTTAAAAGGATTCTAGAGAGCTAAAATCGTCCAGATTTTATGTCCAGATTTTAAGCAAATTTCTGTTGATCATTTCACGTGCTAAATGGAAAAAGGCCGTACCTAATCTAGAGAACATGAAATTTGGACGATTTGGACTCTGCAAAAATCATTTTGACCCAACTTTTGAGGGCAATTTTTTTTTTTTGCGCATACGACCTTTTTCCACAAGTATTTCTGCAATAGTCGAAAAGTAAAAAAAAAATCTTTTCACTGTTTTGTCTTTATTTTTCTGAAATTCGGTCGTTCTTTTGAAGAAGTAAACATTATTCTAGAGAAGTTTATATTGGAAAAAAGTGTGGAAAAGGGGTGTATGCGCAAAAAAAATTGTCCTCAAAAGTTGGGTTAAAAGGATTCTAGAGAGCTAAAATCGTCCAGATTTTATGTCCAGATTTTAAGCAAATTTCTCTTGATCATTTCACATGCTAAATGGAAAAAGGCCGTACCTAATCTAGAGAACATGAAATTTGGACGATTTGGACTCTGCAAAAATCATTTTAACCCAACTTTTGAGGGCAATTTTTTTTGGCGCATACGACCTTTTTCCACAAGTATTTCTGCAATAGTGGAAAAGTAAAAAAAAAATCTTTTCACTGTTTTGTCTTTATTTTCCTGAAATTCGTTCGTTCTTTTGAAGAAGTAAACATTATTCTAGAGAAGTTTATATTGTAAAAAAGTATGGAAAAGGGGTGTATGCGCAAAAAAAATTGTCCTCAAAAGTTGGGTTAAAAGGATTCTAGAGAGCTAAAATCGTCCAGATTTTATGTTCCCTAGATTAGTTTTATACGACTTTTTTCCACTTCGTTGATCTAAAAATCCCAAAAATGGTCAATACCACCTGTAGTTGTGAGAGCCACCAAGTGATCTCTAAACTACCTACTCTTGGAGGCTAACCAATGATATCTCTAGGAGGGAATCAATGATGGGGCTCAACCAATGAGATCAAGGGGAACCCAGTGATATCATTGGTTGGCCCCCAAGACTAGTTAATTTAGAGACCACTTGATGACTCCCACATCTACATTGCGATCGCGAATAAACACAACTGAACACTGAGATAAGAAATTAGTTTCGCCGAAAAATTATGTCTTCCGCGGAAGAGATCCTTTCAATTTAAGGTATATCCCAAGACAATGCCACCTAAAAATTAATCCCTAGGGATTCCCCGAGAAAATTCCAAATGACTTAATTTATTGCATTCACATAAGATATTGAGTTTTTCTATCATCATATGTTGTTGATGAAGGCAACAATAACTGTTTGAATCAAATAAGAAATTATTTGTTAACCTCCTCATCCGAGCTCGCTAAAATATTTTTTTAGAATTTATTGACACATGCTAAACGGTTTCTATTGATTTCAGAGGAAAGAGAGATAGTTCCTTGGGACAATTAAAAAGTTTCAGTCCAAACTCTCATTTTTTTGACTATATTCCCCATACCCTGAAAATTGTTGCAAGAGAACTGATGGGTCCATTAATTGTTTGAATCAAATAAGAAATGATTTCACGAAATTTCCATTTTTTTAGAGTTGAATAATTATATATGTGGACGTCCGCATGAAAAGAGACCACTTTGTCGATTCTAGTTTTCAAGATATTCACGTTTCTGTCTCAGCAACTCCCATTTACATCAACGTTGAATTGTTTTTTTCATCTTCTCTGGCGACGTCATTTTTGACCCTATGAGGATCATTTTGGGCTCAAAATGTGCGGAATATTATAAATATTATCAGAGTATACATAATTTCACATCAACAAAGTGGTCTCTTTTCATGCGGACGTCCACATATATTTAGAGCTGAATATATATCTAGTGCAAAATTTTTAAAAAATCACCGTATTCGGAATTTATCAATCTATCGCGAATTAATTTTTTTAGAACATCGTAAGAAACGTTTTCTCGTAAGATGGAAAAATCGAGTTTAGAAAATTTGAGAAAATTCTTTTGTTTTCTAAAAAATTCCAGAAATTTTTTGGGTTTTTTCGAAAAAAATCTTGAATCCTTTTAAAAATTCGAACAAAGATAAGGGACTTGCATGCTGTAACAATCAACGTAAGGTAAATGACCCTACGCTCGTCTAGCTAAGGTGAACACATCATTAGTCCAATATTTCTATCAAAATAAGCGTGAAGATGCGATGATTTAAGTTAAATATCAGAGGGTAAAACCTTCAGAATTGGAATTTATTTATATTAATTATGATAATTACTATTTTTTAATAAATAATCGTCCATGAATGTGAAAAGTCCCATGTCCCTACGCTCGTTCATTTGTCCCCATGCTCGTTTGACACATGTCCCCATCCTCGTCTCGTGATTTGAGTGATATGGAAAGGTTATATCCGAATTAATTACATCGTGAGTATCCTATGTTGTGATAAAACAACATTAAAAAATATCTCGATGCCCAAAATTATATTTCCATTGGACAGTCCAACCTTTTAAATGATTTTTTCATCCGTTTAGTCCGTTACCAGTTGACAGTTGGGTGCAAAACGAGCGTAGGATCAATGCCATTTTCATTGTACCTATTCTTTTAATTGGCAATATTTCAGTGAAATATCCGGATATTACTATAATTTATGCATTTTTATTAAATTTTCAACTATTCGAAACCTTCGCCAAGGGATTTTTAATTCCATTTTACTATTGTAACGGAGATATTAACGTTTTAAAATTGTGAGTTTCTCAACTTGTGGCTTAAGAATTAACTCTGTCGTAGCGCGAATTGATGTGAATGTGATTTTTCTCTCTTATTATTCAATAAATCACTCTGCGTTGGTATCTATAACTTTTCTTATTGACTAAAATAATAACTCCAATCGTACTTCACTCTTAATAGACTCTTGGGACTATCAAAATGATTGAAATGTCACACCTGGCAGGATCTGAACGAGCGTAGGGACAAAGACGGGCATAAGTACATTTACCTTAGAAACTCCTAGAAAATGACAGAATTTTTCGGAAATTCTTAAACCTTCTGGTGAATTTTAGAAATTTAGTGAGTTTTGGAAAGATACAAGGCGAGTTTTCTATATTATTTTATTTATTATTTATATTTCATTATTTATTTATTATTTTATTATTTTATATTATGCTTCTGGGTTTGATTGACTGTTGGAAGAGTTCAATTTTCATTATTTGGGGGGAATAATTCGATTATGAGTTCTATCTCGGGGGCACTTACATGGTCTTCTAGATATAAAGTTCTTCTACCACCAAAGCCCGGCTAGCTCAGTACGGCAGAGCATGAGACTCTTAATCTCAGGGTCGTGGGTTCGAGCCCCACGTTGGGCGTTATTTTTTTTTTTTCGTCATAATACGTGCGAAATAGACCTAATCGTTTTTAAGCAATTTTTTTAATATCAAAAACAACTTTGAGCATTACTATCAAACGCAATAGTGATAAGTGCAGGCGCACGGCGTCTGAAAGTTTTCCGTTTGATTACCACGTGAAATTTATCTTTTGCTGGGCAGAGCGTCTCAATTTTTAGTTTAAGGGGAGACCGCTGTGAAATTTGAAAGTCTCGGCTCGGCCTTAAGAGCCATTGGATGACTTTTGATATATGAAAGGACATATAAAAAAGTGATAAAAATTTCGGACCCGAACCGTTTTGCTCCTTTATATTTATTAGATCATGAGAAAATGTTTTTTTCATCACGCTGTAACGAAAACTTTTCGACACGCTCCGCATGCCAAAAAATCCACTTTCCGGCACATTGTGATGAAAAATATTGTTCGTAACTCGTGAAAAAATGTTTTCATTGCTCAAGCCCAAAAAGGCCTCTTTTACCGACGGTAGTTAAGCATGAGAAGTAGGTCTTTTTACCGTTGAGCAGTATAAAAGTGAGAAATGCACTACTTAGGAGTGAAAAAGTGAGAAATGCACTCCTTAGGACTGAAAAACGTGTGGCGCCACCCAGCGTTAATGTACCAAAATATAAAACTACATATAAAAACTGATAAATTCAGCCAGTGAATCCCCTTCATTATCTTCAAAATTGTTAAATTTTAAATTTGAAAATACACCTGAAAATTAAAATGAAAAATAAATTATTAAAAAATCTTAATTTTGATAATAATAATATTAGAAATATCATTTCATAGAAAATTTTTTATTGAAACTCTGAAATAAACTACAACGTAAACGCAAGAATAATACTCATAGTTTAAATAATAAAATCTAACAAAACAATCAGTTATGCCCATCTATCTCAACTAAGATCTCGAGANGACTCACGTGCCTCGTGCGCCTGTACTCCACCAGCGTTGAATTCAGCACTTCTCCGCCTTAGCACGTAATATACTATTTTTAGCTCGTGGGATTATATCACTCGCCTTCGGCTCATGATATAAACCTCCCACTCGCCAAAAAACACTTTTTGTACTCGTTACGAAATATACTATTTTATTTTTTAGTTTTTTTTTCTTCTTTTTAACAAATGCTAAAATTTGTTGTATTCCCCCCATTTTTTTTGTTATACATTTTTTTGTTAAACATTTTCACTTGACACCCTTAAGAGTTTAAGGCCCGGTCGCCCCGAGCCCTGTTAGCTATTTAAACCCCAGGATAAATTTATCCATGTGTAATCCTTATGGACTAACAGACCGTTATCTCTGGCGGTTTAGTTAACAGGCGATGGTGCAACCGGGGCTTAGGAAATTTCAATATTGGGAGGAGTTCATTTATGAGTTGAACTTGAGTTGAAAAGTCATGATTCTATTGAAAATACGTTGAAATGACGACTTAATTGCAAATATCTTTTCTACAAAAAAGTTTTAAGAGGCAATGCAACTTACCATCAGAGTAGAAACTGGATTCCAAGTTCATTCGTTGTCAGACGACTATTCCGCAAACCCAAATTCTTATACTATAAATATCAAGATTATTGATGATGTAAGAATTTGGGTTTTGCTAAATAGTCATTTGACAACGAAAAAACTTGGAATCCAGTTTCTACTCTGATGGTAAGTTTAATTGCCTCTTAAGGATAATCAGTATTCAAAAAATGCAGCCAATTTTATAAAAAGTTTTTCACATATTATTGAATCTATTTAGACACCGTTTGCAAAATTTGAGACACCCCAGAAGCAGAACAACAACAAAAATTATTTTCAACGTTGCTGTTTATACATGAGGTTAACCCCTCACGTACGGCGGGGTCCCTAGAACGCATCTTGTCCCAACGGCCGGGAGGCTTACGTCGACGCGTCAATTCCATTGTTTAATCAGCAATAACTCGAAAACAGGTGATCGAGAAAACTTGAAATAAAATGCATTGAATGAATTGAAATTTGAAATAAACGCCCTGAGAATTCTGTTTTTTTCCGCATTCAAGTCACACCGATTTATCCTCCAGGGCAATTTTTCGCCGAGATCTCCAAATTCGCTGAATTTATTTATAATAAATGCATTATTCAATGAATTGAAATTTAACTTGTGCCATTCGATAGGAAGGTCATCAAAGTATTTTCACCAAAAATCCCAAAATTTTTCTGTAAAATTTCCTCGACAAACGAGATGATTGAATATGATTAAATCGGAGCAAGATAGTATTTTCATCCACGGCTTTTGTTAATATAAAAAAAAATAGAAAAAATGCATTGAGAAAAAAAATCAAGGATTTCACTGCACAGACAATTTTATTGACTTTCCAATTTTTTTTTCCAAAAGTCCATATGTGTCTTAGAATTCGAGAAAATAATTTTTTACTGCTGACGGAAAGGGTCCATACGATGTATGGACCCCGGGCGATAGGACAAGTTCGTGTCTCCATACATCGTATAGAGCCCGTACGTGAGGGGTTAAAGGGAGCATCGATAATTTCAGCATTTTTTCCAAATTGCCAACTGGTCGATAATGTAGGGAAAATGCACGAGCTATCGATGCTCCCTTTAACCTCATGTATAAGCAACAACTTTAAAGATAATTTTTTCCAGCCACCTTTGAAAATTTTCTGGATGAAATTCTCTTTTTAATAATAACAAGAGGTCGGTAATAATGGATTTTCGTAGACAAAATATTGAAAAACTCGAATTTTGCCAATTACGTCATGTTTTATTTTAAAAATTTTGCAATTATCCATTTCCACAATCGAATAAACAATAAAATAATTGATTTGAGTCATAATGGAAGTTGGGCAAAGGTCCTACATCTATTTCATTTTGGATGTTTTGGTGCAAAATTTACCAATTTTCGTTAGAGATTTCTGAAAAGTCTCCAGATAATGCTAATTATACTTTTGGAAAATCTTCATTTAATCATTTTATGCCTTTAGATGTATAATCAACATTATCTGAAGGTTTTATAGAGATTTCTTATGGAAAACAGGAAATTTCGACTCAAAAATTGAAAAAAAAATAGATCTCGGTTTTTGCTCAACTTCCGATATGGCTCAAAACACTCGTTTTCATTGGAAAATTCATCATTGTAGTGTTTGAAAAAAGAATTTTATTCCATAAATTTTTAAAGACGGCACTTGTGTGGAAAAAACGTAAAATCACGGAAAAAACATGGGGTAAAAACTGCCCAGTAGATGGATGTTTTTTTTTCGCAATTGAAAAAAAAATTGATTGAAAAAAAATCGCCATTCAGGGATTGAGAATCACAACAATTAGTGAAAATTCAAAGCAACAATTCGCATTTCAGCATTTTTTGCGTAATTTCCTATCCAAAACTAGCTCGTCCATCTATAGGGCAGTGTCCATCTACTGGGTGGCTTACCCTATCTTCCATGCGGGCTATATAGAAATTCAGAACAAAAATCAGGCAATAGTTTTAAAAATCCTGTAAAAAATCGTCGTTCTCTTTCGAGAGAATACTGTAATCGCAAAAGTAACGCAATGGACACTGTTAGAAATTTTCGTATGAAATTTCCAGTACACGTGGGAATTTTTATCGAATTTAATTACCACTGAAATTTCAATGAAAATTCAGAACTTCGTGAAAAAATCACAGAGAACTGTAAATTTCAGTTCCATTTTTCCCTGAAACGTAATAGAAAACGAGAAAATTCCAGAAAATATATTCTTGAATTTTCAGAATATTAACACTGAATGCGATTTGGGGGGAAAAATCCTGAATTTCCGATTTTACTGAAAATTCAATGTAATTTGGCACTAAATATTCCTATTCAATTAGAAACTCCAATAAATTAAGGAATTATCGTCTTTATGCTGCTTAAAATTCTGGAAACGTACTGAATTTTCAGTGAACCCTGGAATTTCATGATTTTTTCCCCCTAAATCGCATTCAGTGTCACTCTCCTCAAAATTAGTAGTCAACTGCCCATGAAATTGATTTTTTTTCCAACAGTATACCCCGCAAACCCCTCTCGATTTCGAACCCAAAAATCAACTTTTACTCTCCCCATTCCACAGGACTATGGGTGGGCGACTGCTTCATCTACACCAACAGCGTCAACAGGATCAACTACTTCGTTGGTGGGGAAGTGGTCACAATATCCCACCTCGACAGACCGATGTATCTCCTGGGATACGTCCCCAGGGACAACAGACTGTACCTCTGCGACAAAGAGCTCGCAATTGTCTCTTACTCACTACTCCTCTCCGTCCTGGAGTATCAGACTGCCGTCATGAGAAAGGACTTCGAAACAGCTGACAGGGTTCTTCCAACTGTCCCCAAGGAGCACAGAACTCGAGTCGCTCATTTTCTGGAGAAACAGGGCTTCAAGAAACAGGCGCTCGACGTGTCCACAGACCCTGAGCACAGATTTGAGCTTGCACTTGCCCTTGGAAATCTGGAGATTGCGCATAATTTGGCGAAAGAGGCGAATAGCCAGCAGAAGTGGCGACAATTGGCCTCTCTGGCGACTCAGAAGGGAAAGCTGACACTCGCACAGGAGTGCCTGCATCAGGCACAAGATTTTGGAGGGTTGTTACTGTTGGCTACCAGTACTGGCAACGCTGGCATGATTGAGAAGCTGGGGGAGGCTGCTGACGACGGAGGCAAGAACAACATTTCGTTCCTGTCGAGCTTTCTCCTGGGGGATGTCGACAAGTGTCTGGACATCCTGGTGAAGACAGACAGGATACCTGAGGCCGCCTTCTTCGCTAGGGCTTATGCTCCCAGCAAGATCTCACATGTCGTGAAACTCTGGAAGGAGAAGCTGTCGACGGTGAGTGAGAAGGCCGGACAGAGTCTGGCTGATCCTGAACAGTACGAGAACCTCTTCCCTGGGTATAGGGAGGCACTCAAGGTCGAACAATTCCTGAGGGCTGAGGGGAAGAGGAGAATACCTGCTGCCGAGTTTTCTGCTGTTAAGGTAATTGAGATCTTCTTTTCATCCTAATTTTATTCATTTTTTGAACGTTGGAACCCCAATTCAAGGAACGTTTTTGTTTGATAAATGGGGTTGTAACTTTGCAATATACTTGCTAATAAGAAACTGCAGGACTGAGAGGAGATTACTATGAGTTTTAAAAGTCGTGGGATATTGGAGTGAGAGTTCTCATGCATTGAAGATTGATTATATATGTCTAAAAACGAAGGATTAGTGCAAAAAAATTAATTGTTTATTGTTCGTTTTTGAGCCACAAAGGTTTTTTTGAAAATTTTTGAAAAAAATGGGTACAATAACAATTATGCATTGGTTTTTTGAAATTCGAATCCTACACAGCTAGTTTCGTTTTGTTTAATATAAAAATTTGCGCCATTCATGTAAAGTAGGCAGAAAAATTGTGCTTAAAATATTAAAAATATATTCTCGATTCTTTCAGAAATATTTTTCGGGCTATTTTGCATGAATGGTACAATTTTTTATTGAAAAAATAACGAAATTAGCGGTAAGAGTTGAATTTCAAAAAAATAATTCGTAGTTGTTATTGCACACATTTTTTCCGAAAATTTAAAAAACATTTTAAGTCCTGGACGATTTTTACCATTTTAAGCGTTTGCGGGGTAAACGAATAATAAACAATTAGTTTTTTTGCACTAATTATTCGTTTTTAGGCATATATAATCGATCTTCAAGGTATGAGATATCTCATTCCAATAGCCCGCGACTTTTAAAACTCGTAGTAGTTTCCCTTTAAGGAATGTACTAAATATGCAAAGAATTTTGCTACTGGGACAGTCACGTACTGGAACATTTACCTTACACCGAGAGAGAAACTAACAAGTTCTCAAACAAGTCTTGTTTGGGACGATAAAATCGTTAGTTGAACATCACCAAAAAATAGTTTGGTTCGAATTTGAAAGTCTCTAGCATGAATAATTGCTCTGCTTTCAACACAACGAAATATTTGACTCAAGAGGCGGATCATTTGTACAAAACGGTGCCTTTTCAATATAAAAATATCCTTTATAGAGAGAAGTTTACCAAGAAATATTTTGTCCCTAAGTTACAAGATTGCTGTCATAATAGTATATTTCGTAACGAGTGCAAAAAAGTGTTTTTTGGCGAGTGGGAGGTTTATATCACGAGCCGAAGGCGAGTGATATAATCCCACGAGCTAAAAAACATTTTTTCACGAGTTACGAACAATATTTTTCATCACAATGTGGCGGAAATTGGACTTTTAGGCACGCGGAGCGTGCCGAAAAGTTCACTTTTCGTCACAGCGTGATGAAATTATTATTTCATTTAAGGCCTGGGTGTACTATCTTTCGAATGTTATCTGGATTTTTTTTATCTTTCGTAATCCAAAATTGTCAATTGAGTGGTGGTACATCATGTAGAAATTCCCAAAAATTATGATTGAATGATAAAAAAAAATAGAAAAAATTCTGAACTTTTTCAAAGAGCGTTTTTAATTGAGATTCAGAATGAGTTGAAAAAAGTGGAAATTACAAATATCTGATTCGCTGTGGCAAATGATCTATTAGCTGTCATTTTCCATGGTGGATAACAAAACACTAACTCCTCATGGGAAGTGACAGCTAGGTATCTCAATTTTCAAAACAGTGGTATGTAGTCATCTGCTATTTTGATGTGATAAAAGTGCGATTAAAAAATTCTCCAAAATATTGCAATTTTTTTCAAAGAGCCTTTTCCGTAATAAGTGTCTCTGTGCAGTGTGGGAAAAGATTTACGAAATCAGTCTTCACCCTGCATGATATTGGATGACAAGCCCCCATTTGTCACCGTAAATTAGATACATTTTTCAATTTCTTGTTATTGAACTTATTCTAAATATAAATTAAAAATGCTCCTTGAAAAAATTAAGAATTTTTCCTACTTTTTTTTTATTATTCATTCATAATTTTTTAAAACTTCTGCATGATGCAGGACTTAATTGCCAATTCAGATGACGAAAGATGAAAAAAAAACATCGAGATAACGTTCGAAAGATAGTACACCCGGGCCTTAAGAATTCATGTTTTTCTATGATTTCGCTTCATTTAAGCATCCAGTAACGAAGCAGTAGTGCTGAAAATTATATTTCTTGCTTGCACAGAACGTAAATTTTTTTTGAAAAGACTAAATCTATTTTTGCAATAAAATTTTTCAATTTTAGCGCCCGCTTCGCAAGTTTGGCACAAAAAAACCTTTTTTGGTAGTTTTTAACAACCAATTGTTTTTGGCAGTAAGACTTGTTTGAGAACTCTACTGTTTTTCTCTCAGTGTAGTGGGTTCCAGGGTGTAATTGGCAAATTGATTGGGTACTTATCTGCTCTTTACCATTTTTCCCCATCGCTTGTTCTTTACACCGGTCTATAGGCTGTTTTACGGTCGTCACATTACGGGGGGTTTATGATCTAGTACTCCCGTTTATTATGGTGATTGGTTGACTATTAAATCGCAATATTTACGCTGCTCGAATCGTCGAGCCGTGACAAATCAATTCTTCAGCGCTATCGGATTAATTCACATTCTTATGGGGTTTTTCATCATTCATTAGTATTTTTATGAGACGTGACAGCTTAGTTTGGCGATTAAGGACTGTTTTCTTGGGCAAATTAGCTTATTTCAATCAAAAATATGATTTTCAGTTTCAGGAAATTTATACAATTCGACAAATGAATGATTCGTTATATAATTTCTAAACATAACTAGATTAGTTTTACATCAGGAAAAATCCTCAATTTCAGAACGAGAATGGTCTTGCTTTGGGGACCTGGATGTTCTTGATCTAAGAATTTCAAGGTTTTTATTTTAACAGCTCAAAGGTTCTGGATCCTAGAACTAAAATTCCCTGAAAACAAAAGAGGATGTACTTTAACTTTTTTCAGCTTTTAATGTTATTTATTGCAAGAAACATACATTCTTACAAATGGCCATGATCCGAGGGCTGATTGCCTTGAATACACTTCTTTTGTACAGTATCAAATTATCTCTATCAGGAGTTGTGCACATGTGGTTCAATGTTGATGATAATTAGACTTGAGAAAAAGATGTAGTTTAATTTGAGCACAATTATGCAAGATTTAATGAAACGTTGATGAGAATTACAACAATTTTATCTGATTTTTAGGTACACTAGATCTGTGCGCGCGCTTGTCTTTTTGTTGTGAAAATGAAGAAATCGAATTTATTACTTCATATACTCATAGATGTTTTATAAATATTGATAATGACTTAAAGAGAATTAAGAGAATGAAGAGTGAAACATCAATGAATAATTTTCAATTTTCGATTAATTCTTTTTTTTTTGCTTTTTAAAATAATCTCATTAAAATCTGCAATTGTTGAAAAATGAGGGGAGGGTTATGAATTAATTTCCCAGAAAACTGAAAAAAATTCATGAATTTTTCGGAAAATTCCAGTTTTCCAGATAACCGTAGCTCTTCAAAGATTTTTCTCGAATTATTTGGGAAACCGAAGAATTTTCATGAATTTTGTAGAGTTTAGAATTTATGTATGAAAATCTGAGAAGCAAGAATTGATCATTTGTGCGTATGAAATATGAAAAAATTAAAATTTGGGAAGTGAAGAATAATTTGTATGTTAAAAAAATTCAGAAATACTGTGTTTTTTTCTCATTATCAACAATTAGGCAATTTAGATGTTTTTTGATATAAAGATAAACTTCACACATGAAAAAATGAAAAATATGACGCAGAAAAAAATTTTGCCATTTGAAGAATTTGAAAATACCGTGGATTTTTTTCAACGACTACTTCACGTGACTCATTGACTAATTAAAATTGAGGATTAGCGGTCAGGCAGTTTCGAGATATTTCGATATAAAACAACTTCACGTTTCTTTCATCTTTAGTAAAATAGGAAAATACCGGGGATTTTTTTCAGCGACTACTTCACGTGACTCATTGACCAATCGAAATTGAGGATTAGAGGTCAGGCGGTTTCGAGATATTTCGATAGAAAATAACTTCACGTTTCTTTCATCTTCAATAAATAGGAAAATAATAATAATATAATAGGAGGATATAGGCTATCCAATAGAAGTTTATCCTTCTCGAATTCAAAGAGACTTATTGACATTTGGAAAAGATATTTCGAAAGTCAATGGAATGGTCTCTGCAGTGAACTATTTCATTTTATTTTATTTTTTTCAATGCATTTATAATATTTTTTTCTATGAACAAAAGTTGTAGATGAAAATTTTACATCCACCTAATTCAATCATATTAAATCATCCCGTTTATCGACAAAATTTCCCCCAAAAATTTTGAAATTTTTACTGAAAACACTTCAATGATCCTTCTATTGAATGGCGGAAGTGAAATTTCGATTTGTTGCACAATTTGTTTATATAAATAAATTTAGCATGTTCGAAGATCTCGGCATCCAATTGTCGGCAAACATTGAAACTGATGTCAAAAATTAGGAAATTGTCTAGGAATTTATTTCAATAGCGAAGTGGTAAACCGGTGTAAATCGATTTTGACTATTGGCCAGTTTTCAATAAATATCTCAGAAGCTAAGGGAAATACCGAAATTGTCGTGATTTCCTTTTTTGTAGCTCTCAATTTGCTCTACAAAAAAGGTTATAACAACAATTTTGCTGTTTCCCTTAGATTTTGAGATATTCATTGAAAACTGGGCAATAGTCAAAATCGACTTATATCGGTTTACGACTTAGCCAATGTATTTTATCGCAATTTCATTGAAGTTCATTGAATAACGGAGTTGACGCACCGTAAGTCTCCCGGCCATTGGGACAAGCCGCGTTATATGGTCGCCGTACATGAGGAGTTAAAAATGAAAATTTCTCTTATTTCCAAAATTTTGAAATGTCGAACGTTTTTTTTTTTATTATTTAAGCTTGCTGACACCTTCAGGTTTATAAAGCTACAAAAGTAAATTAGTATATTTCGTAACGAGCTAAAAAACATTTTTTCACGAGTTACGAACAATATTTTTCATCACAATGTGGCGGAAATCGAACTTTTAGGCACGTGGAGCGTGCCGAAAAGTTCACTTTTCGTCACAGCGTGATGAAAATAAATATATACATGTAAACATATGTGAATATCAAGTATGTTTGACATTTTACAGAAAGTTTGTTTTTGGTGTCCATGGCGTGTTTCAATATTAGTTTACTATATGTTCAGATTACATTTCACTAAGAATTTGTTTATTGTTCCGATACATTCTTTCTCCAATTTATGTCGAACGCTTAATCTTAACAATTGCCGTTTACAGCCAAATATCGAGAGAAAGCCTCTGGAGGAAATGCTGGCAGCCGAGCAAGCCGGGGAATTCCACCCAAGTAACAGTGCGAGATCCGCAGAGCTTGAGAACGATTCCGACAAATTAGCCAACAGATTACAAGAATTGGGATTTGGTAGATCAACAGTTGCACCTGAGCCCCAGTCCTCGACCGCACCCAAAAGCAGTAAGTCGAGGCCCCTCACCATCGACGACGACGATCTTGACCTGGACCTCGAGCTTGATGAAAACATCGACACAACTGTGAGTGTAAAAAACATGAAAACAATATCGATCCTCCGAATCGATGAAATGCATTAAGGAAAGTCAATTAGTGATTAACTTGTCCTCGAGTGGACCGTACCGGGGTAACTCTAGACAGGCTATTGTATTTCCAAAATAAACTGGGGGCTGCGCATGTATTTCCCCTCGCGCTGCAGAGATTGAAATAATGCAATATGAGCGGGAGGATTTTTTTTCGTCATGGGTCGAGCTATTGGGGAATGAAGAGGTCGAACGCCGGTCGAACGGGGTGGCTAGTTAGCGTTCAGATTCACCAGGGGTTGGACTTTTAGGTATTATTTCCATGTTGATATTTTTACTCTGAAAAAATTGAAACCTCTTGGAGCTTGGGTGTTTCGACTCTGAAAGTTCCATGCAAAGCTCTTTATCTTCATGAAACCAGTCACATGTATGAACAGTACATTGAATATGTTAAGGCCCGGGTGTACTATCTTTCGAACGTTATCTCGATGTTTTTTTTCTCTTTCGTCATCTGAAATTGTCAATTAAGTCCTGCATCATGCAGAAGTTCTGAAAAATTATGAATGAATAAGCAAAAAAAAAGTAGAAGAAATTCTTAATTTTTTCAAAGAGCATTTTTAATTTATATTCAAAATAATTTGAGTAACAAGAAATTGAAAAATGTATCTGATTTACGGTGACAAATGGCGGCCTGTCATCCAATATCATGCAGGGGGAAGACTGATTCCGTAAATCTTTTCCCACACTGGACAGAGACATTTATTACGGAAAAGGCTCTTTGAAAAAAGTTGTAATATTTTGGAGAATTTTTTAATCACACTTTTATCACATAAAAATGGCAGATGACTACATACCACTGTTTTGAAAATTGAGATACCTAGCTGTCACTTCCCATGAGGAGTTATTGTTTTGTTATTCACCATGGAAAATGACCGCTAATAGATAATGTGCCACACCGAATCAGATATTTGTAATTTCCACTTTTTTCAACTCATTCTGAAAAATCATTCAAAGCGTTTCAATTAAAAACGCTCTTTGAAAAAGTTCGGAATTTTTTCTATATTTTTTTATTATTCTATCATCATTTTTGGGAATTTCTACATGATGTACCACTCAATTGACAATTTTGGATTACGAAAGATAAAAAAAATCCAGATAACAGTCGAAAGATAGTACACCCGGGTCTTAAATCGACTAATTTTTTTATATGAAACTAACTAGGAGGTTACGCCCCCTGTTCGCTCCGCTCGCCAACCCCCATATGATCCACATATGACCCCCATATACCCATCGTGACCTTTATTTTGACCCTCAATTTTGGAGTCTTAATTTCGAGTATAAAATTGTCATCACCAGAAGTCGATTTGGATTTTTATAATACAGAGAGAGATATATATAGAGACCCTGATTGTGGCTCTTAATATGACCTTCGTGACCCTTATTCTGACCCCCGTGACCCTTTCTCAGCGTTATGACCCTTATTTTCACCCACGTGACCCTTATTCTGGCCTTGGTGACCTTTAATTTTGGAGTCTTAATTTCGAGTACAAAATTTTGATCACCAAAAGTCGATTTGGATTTTTATAATATAGAGAGATACGTTTAGGGGAAAATGTCAAAGAAACTTTTTGTTTGTCCATAAAATTTTCTGCAAGAAGAGTGTCCGATTTTTTCTGCGATGATTTAAAATTGTATTTCGTGTCTCTTAGCTTATTAAAGGGTTTCATATGCGGAAAAAAATGATGACATTGATTTTACTATTTTCTAAAACGCTCCTCGCAGTTGTCATGGTTGTGTTTGCAAATTTTTGGCAATTTCGTTTATAAGTTATTGACAACCACCAGGACATGAATTATTTTTTACAAACGATTGATACTGACGATAATTTTCGTAATGAGCAGAGAAATTTTTTTCTGATTTTTCAAGTTTTTTTCTAGATTTTATATTGTAATTATGGGATTTATCAGGATGAAAGTCCATGAAAACAGAGAGTTAGGTAAAACAGAACTATTTATTTGAGAGGTCTTCACGCCTCTTCTCTCCTCGAGAGACTGACTCCTTAGAGAAAAACTGAAGTGCTCCTTTGGCCTCTGGCCTCCATGGTTTTCCCTTGTCACCATGTGTCGGACAAGGGTCTGTTGTTCTTGAAATTTGTGTGTGTAATGGACACAGACCCCACACATATATAAACCGCTCGTAAAAGAAAATACTGGGCAAGAGAAAATAATTTGGAATGTAGACGCATTAGAGAAGTAAACAGTTGAGTGATTTTGTAAATTCCAATATTTTAGTCTTCTGCCAAATGGTGAAATGTTCATTTTCTCATAAGACTGTGTTATTTTGGCACTTTTAAATCAATTATTGTTAATGTTACTCGACTGCTGATTGTGCAGAAACTTAACCAGAATGTTTCTATTCATATCAACTTCGATTTAGAATTTATTTCAGATTTTAATCCTCAAATTTGCGTTGGTTATATTTTTACATTTTTAAATACTGAAATAATGGTAAAAATCCTCAACATTCCTCAGATAATGTCTGCTACTTATTTATTGTTTCGACATCTCATTTATTCTTTCGACAATGCAGTTCACTGGTATCTTTTCTTGTTTTTCAAAAACCAGTGAGGAAACCTTTCAAACAACACTTTATGTTATGTGCAACTATCCGGAGAACCTCTAGATTTCGCAAGTTTAGTCTCCAAGTAAAAAAGCCTCTCGAATGATTCCTCTAAATCTCGTCGTATTCAAGATATTTCCTAAAAAATCTTTTCCTGACAACGAAAGAAGGAAAAATCTTGAGGACAAAATACATAAAAGTCGGATTTTGCATTACCCACTAAATGACGGGGTTAGTATGTTATGGAAAGAGGGCTGTAAACAAAATACACCGTTACTGCTGACGAGTAAACAGCCCCAAAGGGGATTTACAAAAGCACTCAAAGGGCCATCGCAGTATTCCTGTTATGGTCCATTTGTATCGATTACACTGCTCACTGTTAATGATCTATATTTCACTCCATTTGCACTGATTAACGTGCTACCGTCAACACAGACCAAGAAATTTTTGTTTTTCAAGCTAACATCCTTATTTTTTAAATTCATTGAATTCAAATTCAATGAGTAAAAATTCTTAGAAACAAGTGGTTTTGTCTATAACTATCAGTTATATGGTCCTGAAAATCAGACAATCTCACTAAAGTTTAACAACATTCCCCCTTATTTGACGGAATTATTTTGTCATTAAGATTCAGCGAATTTTAATGACAAAATAAATATCCTGAAGTTCAACGATTGTTTCTTTGTACATTTTAACTTGGAAGAAGCCATCTACGAAATCACACGAGAAAGAAAAATGAAAGGGACAATTATTTTTAGACTAGAAAAAGTCATTTTGTTAATAAAAATTAATAACTATCATTTGATTATGATTACAGGATGTTAATCTGGACGATGATCTACTGGCCGAAGATTAGAACGAGTGAGAATAAAGTGGGTTTATTATTCATTCGGTCGCCAGCCATTCCCCAACATTATTTTCCATCTATTCGAGTATTAAAGTGATGAATTCATCAAAGGGAGACTTTTTTAATTGTTCGAATGATTTTATATGATTTCAATTCACATGAAAACATCAATAAGAATTAAATATATTGTTAATATAAATAAATGTGGACGTGTGCAATGTCCAAATTTTCTTCAAAGCTTTTCTGTTCATCATTTTTATTTCTAAACATTCACAATCAACCTGACATGGCGAGGGATAGACATGAGTTTTATCTGGTTCTAGGAGAATTCATCCCAAAACAAATCAATCCCACGACAATTTCATCCCAAACATCAAATTCCAATGGAATTTTTCACGGTCGCAACGATAATTCAGGGAGAGAAAAATATTAACTTTATTTTCACAGAAAAAGGCACTAAATGCAACATCAAAATCAATCAGATACTTCACGATTCCCTCGTAGAATTGTTTACACAGCCGATCAATGGTTTAACAGGAAACATTGCAAAAAAAACGGTTAAATCATTCTTATCCATCTCAATTAGAGATGGAAATGCGTCACATGACCTGTCATATGATGGTCATGCCACCGTCATTGACGGTCACATGACGAGGCGTTCATGACGGCTGTCACAATTCCCCCTCCGTCTTCTGTGATCGTCACAACTTGTCAAGAAAAAATGACAGTCATTTTTTATCTATATAGTTGAAACTTTATTTTTTTCTCGTTCAATTTTCAGTTGAATTCCTTTTGTATTGGCCTAATCCGCATTTTAAGGATGTTCTACACCCTTTCTGCCAAAATTCACGTTTTTTTAAATTTTTCTGGCAAACTTATGATGGAATTGACGTGAAAAAATATAACGTTTTTGCGTTTTGTCATTATTTAATGACTGACGAAATTTGAAGGTGGTGCGAACATTTTCCTGCGTTTTCTCTAAACTTTTAAAAAGAATCACAAAACTGTAGAAAAAACGCATGAAAATTATCGCACCACTACGCAACTTCGTGAGCCATTAAAGAATGACAAACCACAAAATCGTTATATTTTTTCACGTCACTCCCATCGATAATTTGCCAGAAAAATGAAAACAACGTCAATTTTGGCTAAAAAGGTGTCGAACATCCTTAAAATGGTAATCACGTTTTTTTTCCATCCATATAGATGAAACTATTTTGTTTTATTCATGACCGTCACAAATTGGAAATTAGTTATGACCGTCATTATGCAACTATATAGATGGTGTGACAACAATTTGGTTATAAATGATTTGTGACAATCATTTGTAGTTGGAAAATTTGTGCGTCACAAGACCGTCATTTTTCGGTCATATGACGCGATCAAAAAAATGACGGTCATTTTGCATCTCTAATCTCAACTAACATTCACCAGATAGGCCACGCGTAATAGACCACAACATCAATTTATAAAATTAGCACAAAACTTGAAAATTAATCCGATAAGTCGCGCGCTTCAGCCAAGCGTATTCTTCATCCAAACAGTAATAATTAAAAAAATGGGATGAAACTAGCGTGGGGTGAAATTGTTTGGGATGAATTTGTAGGATGAATTAACCGGATACTGTTTTATCTTCATGGTTTCAGTATCTCCGATCGAATAGAACAGGAATAATTTTCATTTAGATCTTTTTCGCGGAGAGATTGAATGAAAGCTACTGAGAATTATTATATCGCGTGCTAAATTGAAAAAGGTCGTATAAACCTAATCTAGGGAACATGAAATCGGGACGACTTGGGCTCTCTAGAATCATTTTGAGCCAACTTTTGAGGACAATTTTTTTTGGCGCATACGACCTGTTTCCACAATTTTTTCTCCAAGAGAAATTTTTCTAAAATAGTGTTTATTTCTTTCAAAGTACGATCGAATGTCAGAAAAATGAAGAGAAAATAGTGGAAAGATTTTTTTTTCATTTTTCCACTATTGGAGAAATATTCGTGGGAAAAGCTCGCATGTGCGAAACAAGAAATGTCCTCAAAAGTTGGCTGAAAATGATTCTTCAAAGCCACCTTCTTCCACTTCGTTGACCTAAAAATCACAAAATTGTCAATACAACCGTTTTCCATTTAGCACACGATACACTATTCCGCGATAATTGCATAAAAATGAAATAAAATTGAGAAAATTCTGAAATACAAGATGAAAAAACTTGTACACGTTTTTTTCCAATTTCTGAAAAATTGATAAGTTAACGTGCATTGAAATTTCCGCAAGAATTGGAAATTTGAACTGTTTCATTCACTGAAACATTGATATCCCGCAGACAAAATCCTGCAAACCCCAATTTGAGGCCCGGGTGTACTATCTTTCGAATGTTATCTGGATTTTTTTTATCTTCGTAATTCAAAATTGTCAATTGAGTGGTACATCATGTAGAAATTCCCAAAAATAATGATAGAATGATAAAAAAAATAGAAAAAATTCTGAACTTTTTTAAAGAGCGTTTGTAATTAGAATGCAGAATGAGTTGAAAAAAGTGGATGTTACGAATATTTTATTCGCTGTGGCAAATTATCTATTAGCTGTCATTTGTCAGCGTAAATCAGATACATTTTTCAATTCCTTGTTATTCAACTTATTCTGAATATAAACTAAAAATACTCTTTGAAAAAATTAAGATTTTTTTCTACTTTTTTTTGATTATTCATTCATAATTTTTCAAAATTTCTGTATGATGCAGAACTTAATTGACGATTTCAGATGACGAAAAATGAAAAAAAACATCGAGATAATGTTCGAAAGATAGTACACCCGGGCCTTTTAAGTGAAATTTATTTGTATTGTTTCAATTCCGCATGAGGCACTCAATTATTTTGATTCTTTGTTTATTATCTGATGATTGTCATTCTTGAGATGATAAGTACCACATGTTTGTAAACCGGAGAATAAAAAAAGACGTGTTTACGGTTTGTATTTTCCAAGTTGTGTAACTCAGAGGTGATACATCTGTAAGTGATACTTGCAAACATTTCTCCGGCGTCTGGCTTTCATCAAGAACTGTTTTTCCCGCGCTTCCTTACCAGCTGCTGGAGTGGTTCACACGTTTCTAGCCGTTGGTATGCAATGGGACACCTTACACGGACCTATTTCCGGTAACAAACTACCTCCATAGCGGATTAATCAATTTTTGTCGGACAAATTCAGTAGCGAAGTGGTAAAACGGTACAAGTCAACTTTGAATGTTGGCCAGTTTTCAATGAATAATTCGGAATCTAAGAAAGATAGCAAAATTTTTGTTATAGCCTTTTTCGTAGACCCGATTGAGAGCTACAACAAATGTGATTATGAAAATTTCGCTATCTCTCTTAGATTCGGAAATATTCTTGAAAAACTCAAGTGGGAGATGAGTCGAGTTGAACCGCTTTACCACTTCACTACTGAATTAATTGTTTGAAATTGAAAAATTAATAGAAAAAATGTTCATCATTGAATTTTGCAATTTTATCAATTATGAGAGCTTAATTGGAATTGTAATAATCCCATTTGTTTTATTATGGGAATCCAAAGGCATCATAGGCATCTAAATAATTGTCATAACGAAATAGCAAATGGAGGCGAATGAAAGGTGGGATTCGTATCGTTTCATATGTTTCAATGTTTTTGTAAATTTTTAAAATCAGCTCAGCGATTTGCACGTGTGCTCTGCGATAATGACTCAGCACAAGTGGTACCGATTCTTGCGACGGAATATTGCGATGTTCGCGACATGCCAATCAAAAGAACAAAAATTCACGAATGAAAAAACAGAAATTCACTGATTTTTAAAAGTCGCCGGCTATTTAAGTGAGATTTTTCCTGCATCGAAGATCAATTATATATGTCTAAAAACGAATAATTAGTGCAAAAAAAATTAATTGATTAATTAATTGATTTGATTAATTAAATCGTTTGCCTCGCAGACGCTTAAAAAGTTAAAAATAGTCCAGGGCCTTCTATTGCAGAGCTACAGAAGTTTTTTTTCAAAATTTTTGAAAAAATGTGTACGATAACAATTACGAATTCGTTTTTTTAAATTCGATTCCTACACAGCCATTTTTGTTTTATTTTATAAAAATTTGCGCTATGTAAAACAGACAAAAAAATATCCTTATAATATTTAAAATATATTTTCGATACTTTCAGAAACATTTATTGGGCTGCTTTACATGAGTGGTGCAATCTTTCATTAAAAAAAAAAAAATTAGCTCTAAACAAAGTTAATTTAATTGGTACCAAAAATATATTTGTATTTTTGGATTAGCATATTTTTTAAACCTTTTAAAAGTCTCTCACTATCACTCGTTTACATGTGTGAATCGCATGGAGAGTTATTGGGCGAAGCCAAGAGTAATAGACCGCACAGTGGATACATAAATACATCCATGAAAGTGGCGAGTAAAAAGAAGAGAGAGCGAACGAGAAAATGAAGAAGAAAATAATAAAGAAATAAAATAAAAAGGGACTCTTGTGGCTCACTCAGCAGTTTGAGATTTTGCTCAGTGGCACGTGTACGTTAATCATCGAATCTACGACTGGTTACACCCATGTTATGGAGAAATTCAGAGTCCTGGAGAGTGCAACGGTGAGTCACCGCGATTCAAATGACTTTAGATCACTTATACGATATTTTGATGAATGTCGGTAATTGAATACTGGAGTTGACATTTCCTCGAGTTAATTATGGACATGAGGATTCACCCCTCTTCATTTCGAGTTTGAAAAATTAATATTAACATTTACACCGAACTCCTCAGGCATGAAAAATTCAATAGAAAAACTAGCGAATTCGCTAGAAAATTCTATTGGAATTCTGTAGGAATTCTGTGGGGTTTCTAGAGGATTTCTACTGGAATTCTATTGAAAAAAATCTATTTGTTTTTTGCGCTGATAAGAAAAAGTCAATAGATTTCGAATTTCTGTTTGGAATTGTTTCTTGAGATTTCTTCTATAAGAATGCTTGGACATCAATTTTCAATTTTTTTCCACTCGGATTCTGTAATGCAAAATAAAACAAAATCCAGTGGAGAAAATTTAGAAAATTTGTGGCCAATAATTTCTAACAGAAAAAATCTCAGGACAAAAATTCCAAACGACATTCGAAATCTATTGACTGTTTCTTATCGGATATCTAATAAAATCAGCGCAAAAAACAAATAAAATTTTCCAATAGAATTCCAATAGAAATGCTATGGAAACGC